TCTAACCTCAAAGTCCGTGGCACGACTGCAAACTGTGTGTGTTTGTGTCGACGCCATTTTTAATAACTACATATATACACATGTTGAGAACTCGGTCTAATAAATAACGATGCCCTATTTTCGCAGGTCAACTTCACTGTCGACGAAATCCGTGGCCTCATGGACAAGAAGCGGAACATCCGCAACATGTCCGTGATTGCCCACGTTGACCACGGCAAGTCCACCCTGACCGATTCGCTCGTGTCGAAGGCTGGTATCATTGCCGGAGCCAAGGCCGGTGAGACCCGTTTCACTGACACCCGCAAGGACGAGCAGGAGCGCTGCATCACCATTAAGTCGACGTAAGAACAGCCGCGCCCCTGCCCCTTGACCCGGCTAATCAGTATTTTTGCCCTATTGTAGTGCCATCTCCATGTACTTCGAGGTGGAGGAGAAGGATTTAGTGTTCATCACTCAGCCCGATCAGCGCGAGAAGGAGTGCAAGGGTTTCTTGATCAACCTGATCGACTCGCCCGGTCACGTTGACTTCTCCTCTGAGGTGACCGCCGCCCTCCGTGTGACCGACGGTGCCCTCGTCGTGGTCGACTGCGTCTCCGGTGTGTGCGTCCAAACCGAGACCGTGTTGCGTCAGGCCATCGCTGAGCGCATCAAGCCCATCCTGTTCATGAACAAGATGGACCGCGCCTTGCTGGAGCTGCAGCTGGATGCCGAGGAACTCTACCAGACCTTCCAGCGCATCGTTGAGAACGTGAACGTCATCATCGCCACCTACAACGATGACGGCGGCCCGATGGGTGAGGTGCGCGTGGACCCCTCCAAGGGATCCGTTGGCTTCGGCTCCGGCCTGCACGGCTGGGCCTTCACCCTCAAGCAGTTCTCAGAGATGTACTCTGAGAAGTTCAAGATCGATGTGGTCAAGCTAATGAACCGGTGAGTGCCCTCTTTGATATTTAGTTTTATTGTATACCCTTGCAGAGGGTAATACCCTATTTCAGTCCAAAGATTGCAAAGCAGTGAATGAGACATTTCCGACCCTATAAAGTATATATATTCTTGATCAGCATCACTAGGAGAGTCGTCCTAGCTAGTCCGTCCGTTTCTACGCAAACTAGTCCCACCACATAAAGCTATCTATAAACTTTTCCAAAAGTTGTCCTATTGCAGGTAGTATATTAAAAAGTATAACTTTGTAATATTTCAAAAATATGGAATTACGGTTTTAATTAAAATAAAATCGGACATCTATATCATGCAACTCCCATAGAAAAATCAAAAAATTAATTAAAAAAATTGAGATATAATTATTTACTATATCACAATTACGCTTTTAGTTTTTTCAAAATCAGACAATATCAAACGATGTCAAAATTCAGCGCAAAATCGACATACCTTCACTGCAAGTGTATATAAACTTCGGCTTGCCGCAGTTTGCTTCCTTTCTTGTTACATATATCGACGCTTCTAGCATGAAACGTGTGGCGCTGAGCGGGTGGCATCTTGGAGGATAGCTCCCCTGGGGCAGTCTTCTTTAGAGTCGCGCGTGGTGAGGGCGCCACAAGTGCTACAAAAATAGAAGTAGAGTAAACTGCAGGCTACTGAAACGCTGACTCGGGACCGCTTTCTTAATGTCCTAACGAGTTATGCTAAGGTAGCAACCTAACACTGTTTCTAATCAACTTCTAAATATCATTTCTATTTGTGTTGTTTTGCGTACTTTATTTATTAAACAGCCTTTGATAAAAAAAAGTAATAAATATAAAATATAAAATATGGCTATGTATACTAAAAAAAATTTTTTTAATTATTTATTAAAAAAAAAAGTAGTTTTAAATTTTAATAATCTTTGTTAATGTTTCTTAAATATTAATATAACAAATTGTTAAACAAAAAAGAAGAAAATTTCAAATCTTAGATTAAGAAAAATATTAAATGCACATTTACTAAGATATGGCGATTCAACCGAAAAGCGATACAACAAATATTTAGAGGCTGAAATAGGCAAACCATCTTTAATTGATTATTTAGCAAGACAAATATTCATAAATATAATTAAAGTCAAATGCCTTTTTTATCGTTTATAGTCTGTGGGGTGAGAACTTCTTCAACGCCAAGACCAAGAAGTGGCAGAAGCAGAAGGAGGCCGACAACAAGCGCTCGTTCTGTATGTACATTCTTGACCCAATCTACAAGGTGTTCGATGCCATCATGAACTACAAGAAGGAGGAAATCGGTACGCTCCTTGAGAAGATCGGTGTGACCCTGAAGCACGAAGACAAGGACAAGGATGGCAAAGCTCTGCTGAAGACTGTGATGCGTACCTGGTTGCCAGCCGGTGAGGCTCTGCTTCAGATGATTGCCATCCATCTGCCGTCGCCGGTGGTTGCGCAGAAGTACCGTATGGAGATGTTGTATGAGGGTCCCCATGACGATGAGGCCGCCGTCGCCGTGAAGTCTTGCGACCCCGATGGTCCTCTTATGATGTACATTTCCAAGATGGTGCCGACCTCTGACAAGGGTCGCTTCTACGCTTTCGGACGTGTGTTCGCCGGTAAGGTGGCCACCGGCCAGAAGTGCCGTATCATGGGCCCCAACTACACCCCCGGCAAGAAGGAGGATCTGTACGAGAAGGCTATTCAGCGCACCATCCTGATGATGGGTCGCTACGTAGAGGCCATTGAAGATGTGCCCTCTGGCAACATTTGCGGTCTGGTCGGTGTCGATCAGTTCCTGGTCAAGACTGGTACCATCACCACCTTCAAGGATGCTCACAACATGAAGGTATGTAGCGTAAAACTATTCTATAATTTTGTTTTTTTTTTAATTAGTTGCTTATTTTTTTCATTATCAGGTCATGAAGTTCTCCGTGTCCCCTGTGGTGCGCGTGGCTGTGGAGCCCAAGAACCCCGCTGATCTGCCCAAACTGGTCGAAGGTCTGAAGCGTCTGGCCAAGTCCGATCCTATGGTGCAGTGCATCATTGAGGAGTCTGGCGAGCACATTATTGCCGGTGCCGGTGAGCTGCATTTGGAGATCTGTCTGAAGGATCTGGAGGAGGACCACGCTTGCATCCCTCTGAAGAAGTCCGATCCCGTGGTGTCCTACCGTGAGACCGTGTCGGAGGAGTCTGACCAGATGTGTCTGTCCAAGTCGCCGAACAAGCACAACCGTCTGCTGATGAAGGCCCTGCCCATGCCCGACGGTCTACCCGAGGACATTGATAACGGCGATGTGAGCTCCAAGGACGAGTTTAAGGCCCGTGCCCGTTATTTGTCTGAGAAGTACGACTACGATGTGACCGAGGCCCGTAAGATCTGGTGCTTCGGCCCCGACGGAACCGGACCCAACTTCATCCTCGACTGCACCAAGTCCGTGCAGTACCTCAACGAAATCAAGGACTCTGTGGTCGCTGGCTTCCAGTGGGCCTCCAAGGAGGGTATTCTGGCCGACGAGAATTTGCGTGGTGTCCGCTTCAACATCTACGATGTGACGCTACACGCTGATGCTATCCATCGTGGAGGTGGCCAGATCATTCCAACCACTCGTCGTTGCCTGTACGCCGCCGCTATCACCGCCAAGCCGCGTCTGATGGAGCCCGTCTACCTGTGCGAAATCCAGTGCCCCGAAGTGGCAGTGGGAGGCATCTATGGCGTGCTGAACAGGCGTCGTGGTCACGTGTTCGAGGAGAACCAGGTTGTGGGCACACCCATGTTCGTGGTGAAGGCATATCTGCCCGTCAACGAGTCGTTCGGCTTCACCGCTGATCTGCGCTCCAACACTGGCGGACAGGCCTTCCCCCAGTGCGTCTTCGATCATTGGCAGGTGCTGCCCGGCGACCCGAGCGAGCCCTCCAGCAAGCCCTACTCCATCGTCCAGGATACGCGCAAGCGCAAGGGTCTCAAGGAAGGTCTGCCCGATCTGTCCCAGTACTTGGACAAGTTGTAAAGCACCACCACTCACCACCCAATCCCCCACACAACAACAACATCTATGTGCAGCTGGCTGAGCGGGAGGAACATAGAACAAAGTGGAGCGGCCTAAAAATACATCTAAATTCAGCAGGTGCCTTGCACCAAAGCCTGCGGCCGCTGGCAGTGTTTTAAATTAAATAAAAACACAAAACATTAAAGAAATTTTGATGATTATTAATTGTATAACAGAAAACCACAACATAATAAATCAAGTAAATGATTAAATGCTTAAGTTTATATAAAACAAATACACACTACCTGTGAAGCGAGAACCGATTTCTGAACAAGGCAACTAAAGTTGTCTTAGGTGGGAAGCTATCAATACAATATCGGTACGATTTCTTTTGAATTATGGATAAAATGGATTCAATACTTTTCTTGACATAATTATAAATGTCCAATGGTTTTTCTTTTTACAATTAGGGTAACGTCAATAATTGGTTGTTTTATATTAAGGATTCTGGTTTAGGGTTAAATCTGAGGTTTTTATAAATTGTTGCCTATCTATTTTAAAATAACTTTATGGCTTGAATGAAAACTAATTAAAGATAACCCGACTTATCTACTCTATTTGTCCAACCCTCGTTACTACACCGATGTTGGTTTGTGTCCACGCTAAGCCGCTGCAACATTTAATTAAAATTTCAAAATGAAACATCGATACCCGATATTGTTTAACCTGAAATATTGGGGACTCCCAAAATTGATTTGGAAGTGGTATTTATTTTAACTTAGAATGGAATCGTTTCTGCTTATCTGTAAATAATACATACTATGGGATAAGTGGCACGATTTGGTTTAATTTTTGCAGATTACATTGAAAAACGAGTTTGAATTTAATTAAGCCCATGGCCACAATTAATTCAAAGAATTACAATAAAAAAGGCATTACAAATGCTATCAAATAAAATTATTAAAATCGTCGTGCATATTAAGCTGTTTATTAAAAATCACAACTGGTTTTCGGCTGCGTGGGAAGATATCGATACCATATTTTGATACAAATCTGACATCGCTAGATTTGCGAACGTTGCTCTGTCAGGTCATAAACAAAAGGTCGGTGCGTTCGCTCGGTCGTTTTTGTATTATAACGAAAAATCGGAACACGTCGGAAAACGCAAAAGAGATTCGTCTGTATGTATATCCGTGCGTTGAAGACATAATTGCAAAATGCGAACATTTTTGGAACTTACCCCGCGTCTGTTTTTGTCATAGGCCCAAACCTAAAACGCTGTTACCGTTGCTTTTTTGTCGCCTCGGCGTCTGTCATTACAATTCCCACCCCCTCACTCTCTCTGCGATTCTCTTTCGCCCCCGCTTGGAATTAATTATTTTTAGAAGCATTTCCAATTGGAAGTCTCTTGAATTGACCTTTTGTTGTGCCAAAAGCCAGAGCTTTCTAACTGTAACTATTAGGCAGAGCCGAAAAAGTCAGATCGCTTGCGGTTGTAGGTGTATGTGTCTGCATACGAAAAAATCGATGCCAGACTCCATGCACAAACTTCATTCAGAAAGGAAAGGAGAGTAGAAGAAGAAGCCAAAGCAGCGACGCCGACAGCAGTAAATTTTACAGCTAGACAAAGTGGCCCGTCTTTGTGTGGGTGGCTGTAACCGTAACTGAAATCCAAATACGGTCGCCGATAATACAGGAAATTAATTTTTCTCATACTAGAAACTAAAATGTTGCAAACTTTTGTTATCATCACTGCCCGCATCCGTTCAAATCCTATTTTTTAGGCCAACCTAGTTGCAGTTGCAAACATTTTTTTGTTAAGCCAAAGGCAAAAAAACGTGTTTATATATAGCCACACAAAGAGTGTGCGTGAGTGTGGTGGGAGGTGGGCGAAAGTGGTGTGTGAATGCGCCTGACTCGAACTCAAACTCAAACTCCTCTCAGCGGGACCCCAAAGTGTATAGAAAATATGAATGAAGATAAGGCAGAGTGCGAATAGTGAGCTCCCACACTCTCCTCTCCCGCGTTGTTGTTGTCCCTCGCACCTCCACATTACCCATATTCCCAAAATTTTCTCTTCGAGATGAGATGCGAAAAATCAATGCACAAAAATCCCTTGTTGAACAGTTTTTAATTGCCCGGATTGCGCGAGCGTTTACTTGTTTTGGTGTAAATGCGAATTTAATGTAAGCGATTTTTAAATCAGAACAAATACAGTCGGTGAGAGGCGAAATTTAATTTTTTGATTTCATAAAAATGTAGAAAGAGTAAAATAGAGCTCAAAATATGTGTATAAAAGAATAGTTCATTTGTATAAGATTAAAATTTCTAAATAAAATCAGTTCAAAAAATTTAATTTATTTTAGTTGCTTTGTACACCTTGTTTGTTGTGCAAATAAAATATAAATATTTTTTTTAACATATGTCTTTTGGATCTGATAACTGATAATAAAAATTTTGTAATGTTATTTATTAAATTTTAACGCTAGTTTTTTTGAATAGAGAAATAATTTGGAGTAATAAGAATAATCTTTTTTGATAAAGAATATACAAATATGAGTATTGATAAATACCAAATTAAAGATACATTTTTTGTAACTTTATTTGTTTTTTACACTTTGGGCTTTATATCGAAACGAAGGTTATCCCTGACAGGTGACGTGCCGCATACTTTCCCAAAGCTTATCCTCCCAGTCAGTTTTAATTTCCGCTTACACGCTTTTCCACCTAATCGGAAAATATCAATATCCACTGGCTTTCCCTGTTTGCATACAATATCGCATGCCAGTCTCATAGCTCCTAATTGGAAATCACGTCAGCGGCCTACGGACCGAAAATCTGACCCTACTTAACTCCCCCACTTCTCCCCCGCAGCCTCGACTTTCCGATGACGAATTTAATAACCTGAAAACGAAGAAGCGAGAGCAGCGAGGGAAGGCAGAGGAAAACCGCCAATCACTTTCACACATTGCATGGATGAAAATTGGAACAGCCGACAATAAAGCAACATCAGCAGCGACGCTGACTGAGGCAGCGACGTCGACGTCAGTTAAATTTACATTTGTTACATTTTTATAATCAACGAAACACACGGAATCCACAAATAAGAAGCCATAGAGCAGGTTTCTAGTCGATGGTTTCAATGATCATTGCATAATAATGGCATCGGCACCTGAATCGTGCGGAGTACGCGATTCCAAGGAACCGGAGACCGAGTGGCAGTTCGATCCGGAGGAGGGGCGGACCCAGGCAGCAATGACAGACTCCCAGCGCGCATTGGATTCCCTTGAGGGGGGGACCGAGGCGGACACAGATTTAGATGCTGCCGCTGCTGGAGCTGACCAACAAAGGCCAAAGTATGTTGCAACTTTTTCTTAAACAAAATCAAAACTTGAATTGCCGTTTCCCATTATGGAAATTGGTCATCAGCGTATTGATGATAAAGGGTCCTTCACAGAATTCAATTCCAATCTAAAATAATTTTTAGAGGTCAACCTAAAATCAAACTGAAAGCAAGATTTTAAATGTTCTTAATTTAAATAAATGTATACTTTCAGACCTTATAAAGTATAGATTCAGTTAAATTTTTTATAATCTCATCCCCTTGCAGAGGCTATTATAAATTTAAACGAGATTTTTCCAACCCTATAAAGAATATATACATACTTAATCAGCGTCACCAAGCTATCTAGCTGTGTGCTTTTATCCTTCCATATTTCTGCAAACCTGTCCTTCGATTTTAAAGGTAACCGAATAAAATGTCTTCAATCTTTTTTGGTAGTATACATCTTATGGAACGGTCCGTATCTGACAATAACTTTCATAGGAATAATCAGAAATTAATTGAAAAAATGTATCTTCGTTGTTTTTAAACATACATATATACTCCTCGAAATAAACGACTATTTTGAAGGATTTCCAAAATTCGGATTTTATGTTATAAAATCGGGCTTAGATTAACATATTTTCCATAGATAACTTCTTTTATTTATTTAAATGCTACAAGTCCACGAACGTGCAGGTCACGAGTGAAAATTATCTACCCCTTCAGCCAATCATTTTAAATCGAAATTGTACCTGAATAAAATTCAAATGGTCATTGTGGTAGTAAAATAAAAGAGTCCAAGACTAGCACTACCACTTTGGTTCAAATATTTTTTTCTGATTGATTGAATGACCTAAAGTTTAAGAAAATTAAATGAGCAAAAAACTAATAGAAAGAGTGAATATGATTTGTTTAAGTGAACATATCAAATAATTAAAAGTAGTTCTTCGGAAATGGCATTACCCCAAAAAATTAAGTTAAATTACATTGTTTTCGTAACATAATATATTTTAAAATATCGTTTTGTTATTCTTCATTAATCCTTTGATTTGGTGTAAGCTGGTGGTTTCCATAGGTTTCATTATTTTTTGGCAATCAAGAAAATGTAATTAAATTAAATTAATGCCAAACCTAACCAAATAAATAAATATAATTTTTTCCGACCCTACAAAGTATATATATTCTTGATCAGCATCACCTGTAGAGTCGTAGATTTTGCTATGTCCGTCTGTCCGTTTCTACGCAAACTAGTCCCTCAGTTTGAAGCTATCTGTTTGAAACATTCCCAAAAGTTGTCTTTCTATTGCTTTCAATTATGTCGGAACAAGCCGGCGACTATATCATAAAAAAAGTTTATTTGAAGGAAACATTTCCGAGCCTATAAAGTATATATATTCTTGATCAGCATCAACAAGAGAGTCGATCTAGCCATGTCCTTCCGTCCGTCCATCCCTTGCAAACTAGTCTCTCAGTTTTAAAGCTGGAAACATATTAGAGCAGCAAGCATAAAATAAAACTTAACTAAAACTATTTTGATTTTCACATGCGGTCCATCGTGAACAACTTTTTCATATATAATAAATACAAACAAAACCTTTTGTCCAAGTCCCCACAAAAACCGTGGTCGCTGCAAGCAATGAAGTTGCGCTTTTAATATTACATTTTTATTTGACTGTTGCGCAGCGATGATCAACTGCAGCTGCAGTCGCTGGAGCCCATCTCCTTGGATGACATACCTGAGCCCATTAAAGTCCTTGACGAGATCATTTCGGAGTTCGAGGAGGCGGCGACGAAACCGGTGGCCTTGCACAGCAGCAGTGGTGAGAATCAGTCCGAGGACGATGGCTACATGAGCCTGAGTCGCAAAAAGTAAGTCAAATTTATTTTACATAAACGAATTTTTGAAAGGTGGAATAAATAGGTCCGAGTAACTTATGTTTGTTACCGTTACACTGCAATTTCGTTTCTCAGTTTTGAAGCTATCTGCTTGAAACTTACCCAAAATGTTGTTTATTTGATCCTTTTTTCCTTTGGAATTTGGTAATATTTAAATACTATAGAAATATGGTAAATTAAAATCTGAGATCTATATCATATAGCTCCCATAGAAAAATCCAAAAATTAAATAAAATAAAAAAAAAAAAATTTTTTAAATGAAAAAAACATGAAAAAAAATATTTTGCTGTTTTTCCTTTTCTCAAAATATTATGATTACCAGATTATATAAAGCTTTAAATTTGTCTTCTATTGAATTATTCTCCACCCATGTAAGCCACCATAATTCAATTACCACTTAGTCCAAAACTACCCACTTGTGACTTACCATATTTCAACTTTGACTTTACAGCATGTCCAAAAAGGACTCCGAAGATGTGCCCCAAACACCCAGCACCGATACTGTGCCCGAGGGAAGTTTCAATGAGGTGGATGGCACAGCAGAGAATCTAGCCAAATTATCTGAGGTGGAACACGGACAGGAAACGACGACGCCCCTCATCCAGACAACGTTGGTGAGTTCGAAGAAGCCCTACTAAACCACTCCAGCTAATGGGAAACCAATTAACTCACCGCACAACCCCACCTCCTTCTCCCCTTTACCTTTTAGCCGAAGGCACGGGGTTCCAGCTCGACGCCGGCCACCAACTCAAACTACTCGAGTCTGCCGTGTTGTGGGGCCAGGACCTCGAATACGGGCGGAGCTGGTGTTGGCAGTTCTTCAAGTGGACTGGCAGCCATCAGGCACCCGGGCAGCTGCAGCGGTGGGCGCAACGCACTGGGCATCGACATCAGCGCCGTGCACAATGCTGTGCTTCGCGGCAATCTGGCAAAGCTGCCGGAGCCCTTCGTCAACGAACATCCGGTGACCATCTATCCAGGTCCCTCCTCAAAGGCGGCCGGGGGGGAGGGGGCTCGTGGAAAACGGCTGGTAGAGAAGCACAAAGAGGTGTGCCATATGCTCAATCCGCTTTCCAGCAACTCGACCTCCTCGACCGGTTCGCAGAACACGTCTAGTGGAGAGGCTTCGCCGGCTGCTTCCCACGTCAATGTCACGACCTCGAAGGCAGCAGGCAGGGATGAAGATTACTCGGAGGACTCGCTGGAGGAGTCCACGATCTCCACGGACCTCACTCCTGTCAAGCAGAATGGCGTCGCCTGGGAAATCCACTTTAAGAGCATTAATAATAAGTCCAGCGGCTCCAAAAAGGCATCTGGTGCTGCGTCCAAAAAGGTGAATATTATAAAATTTGAACTGTGATTTAACGATATGCATAATGTTTTTATTTGAGTAGCACCAACAACGGGCCACCAACTTAGACGACTTCAACAACAGCTTCATGTACAACGAGCAAAGTATGCTGGGCAAGGGAACCTTCATTATCCGCCGTTCCACGGCAAAAAAACCACCCCGTGCTACAGATGTGTTTTGTATACCAAAGCCGCCACGTCCCTCCTTGGCCGAGAGAGCTGGATGCGGATCTAGGGTTGGAGCTGGAGCGATCAGTAATGAGTTCTACACAAGCGACAGCGACCAGAGTGACGCCACACCACTCCCACTACCGCCGCCGCCTGCCTCCTCCGAGATAAACTTTGTTTACAAGGAGTGCGAGGCTAACGCGGCGCACACACGCCGCGGATTGGAGATGGCCGCTGCTCATCGTGCGGCTCTTTCGTTGGACATCGCCGAGGCACCGGACCAACTGGGCCACTGCAAGCCAGCCAGGAGTAAGACGGCAATGCTGACCGAAAAGCGGCTGAGCGCCGAGTCCATGCCGGACAACACCTCCAGCAGCGAGGAGTTCGATGAGGCGCGTCCCAACGGTAGTGGAGGCTACGATCTGTACCCCTACAACGGGAATGGTGAGTGATCTTTTAATTTACAGATGATTCAAAATTATTCTGTGAGTGTCATATTAAAAACATATATTTCTTTTTGATGCAGATCAACGTGTTTCCAACGCTACCACTCCACACACGGATCTGGCCCCAACTCTGGAGGAGGACGAAGAGCTGTCCGATTTTAGCTACGGGTGTGCTCCGCTAATGCAAATCGAGGATAACATTAGCGCCTTGCTGCGTGGAGATATTCCCATTGTCGGTAAACAGGCAGGCTGCAATGGGGGTGGATCCGTTGGAGCCGCTCCGACAGCTGCCGAGATTCATGCCAAGCGAGTGTTGGAATTTCGGCCAGGGGTTCACAAGTCGGAGAGTGCCAAGGAGATGCTTTTGTCACAGTTGCCCAGCTTGGGTCCATTGCCCCCATCGCCGCCATGCTCTAACCCGGATTTATTTGACTATGATGCCCCATTGCCGCCATCGCCAGTTGAGCCGCGTAAGCAGCTAGAGCTTCCGGCAGAGGTGGCCATCTGTGCCATGCCACCGAATCGTGGCACAACCGTTGTAGAGGTGCATGCCACCGCCTCTGGAGCGGCAGTACACAGCAGCAACAGCCACATGCGCCGAAGTCGCGACAATGTTGCTGCAGTGCGCCACTTCAACGACGAGCTGCCACCGCCACCGGCGCCTGCCCACCAGTCGAGCGGCTTTGTGGAAGGCTTACCTGGACCACCAATGGTACCGCCGCATCGAGCCACTGGAGGGCATTCGGCAAACACCATGAAATCGTGGAGCATTGACTCGCAGTACCGCAAGCGATCGCCCAAGCTATTTGGCCACTATAGCAGCGGCGGCAGTGGGATCACCACCCCCACCGGTCTTGGACCTATGCCACCGCTGGCTGCGCCTCCTCTTGATGGAATGGCCGGTGGATCCGGGTCCTATCAAAGGCGGTACATTAATTATGGCACCAAGCGCAGTCTGAAGCAGTCGCCGCGCGAAGAGCACCGCCTGCAAACCTCATGTAGTCTTCCCGAAACGCCAATCTTCGCAAGAGGGTGAGTTGTTACATACGGGAAAGTAGTCCACTAAATAGTATAAATTCCTCGGCAGCTGTGACATACCACGTACGCCGTATCGACGCCAAAATGAACCGCTGCCTGTGGTCAGCGGTTCACGCACCGCGCCCAGATCGAGCACATCAAACAGCATCAACATGGGTACTTCCATTTTGGGGATTGGAGGTGAGCTATGAGCTATTTTATAAAAAATAATTAATATAAAAAAAAATCTCAATTTAGTTTATAAATATATTATAAAGTAGTTGATTTATTTGAAAGAACAAATTACAACCTGGATTGGAATTACATAGGCATGGTCGCCTTGAAATTTAGGGCGCAGACAATCTGCATTACTAGTAAGACAAAAAGCATTCGAGGGCCGAATAGCCATTACCGTCAACTAGTAATATTTAGAACACTATACATTATGAAAAAAATATCTAATGCAATTTGTCTCCACACCTAAAAGCTAGGTGGGACATATTCGGTTAGACTTTACTCTATACCCTTAGGTTGGATTTTTTAAATTGTTAACGAAGCGGGGCATCGGCATTTAAACTATAAATTTATTTTCTGATTAGATAATTAACATTTGTATAATCACCCTCTCAATAGCCGGTAACTATGGAACGGCCCAAATTTGCCGCCAGCGATCGATCAATCATGCGTTGGCCTCCAATGAGATGCTACGCATGACCGGAGCCCCCGCTCGTGGATGGTATCCCAAGCAACGGGGGATGCGCCCGGTATCGACCGAGAACATCGATCGCCTGGCTTCCGTGCGGGTGTGGGACAACCCGGCGGGCATGTCAGGCACTGGGCAATCCCGCAAGCCACTAACGCTGCCACCTAATCTAACGCCCTCCTTCTTAAACAAATCACCCCGCGAGGCTCTGCGACGAGTGACGAGTTTGTTGATTACCAAGAAAAGTAAGTTAGCGTAAAGTTTATAAAACAATTCATAATGACATTATGTTATTCCTCAGAGAACAGTAAGGATCGAAAACATAAAACCTATTGCGATCAGCTCATGGATGATAGCAACAGCAAGCATACCTATGAATTTGAGACTGGTAAGATTCTAAAATGAATTTTTAAGTCAAATTTTGAAGTCATAAAAGACGACAGATATTTGTCACATAGATAGGCAGACCCCTCACCTTACAGTTTACTTATAGAATTCAACATTAAGACTCTAGAACAGAAAAAAAACCGAGAAACCGACCCATAAAAACAACTGAATTAACATAAAATTGTTAGAAAACCTACAAAATATTTTAAAAAATTTTACAAAACAAAAAATTACAGTTTTTATAATTAAACAAAAACGTACTATATACTAGAATAAACTATTAATAAAACCCCTCGCAACTAAATAAATGTACTACTGACAACTTAAGGCCTCAAGAAGCCATAGCTGGATCCATTCAATATAGTATATATAATATTAAGCTAGGATTATATAAGTAAATAAACTCTTCGAATTGCAAAGGTTAGGTTTTTTGTCGTTAATTTATTATTTTTTACTTTCAAATCACCATTGCTATTTACAAGATTAACTTATTTGTTCCAGGCTCAACAAAACAAAAGGATATCAATCGCAAGGATAACGGAGCCTCGGGGGTTACCACCAATGCCAAACCCAAAAAGAAGGGTATCTTTAAATCCCTTTGGAAGCGCACGAAAACAGCCTCGCTGGATCATTAAAGAAATCCTCGTTGGCAAGACTAAGCACTGTCCCAAGTTTTATGTCACCATAAGCATAATAGCATCGAAGTTGATAATAACCCTGCACTTACACTCACGTTAATCGGGAGGCAAGTTAAGAGTTTATCTTGCACCAATCCACCACTAACCTGCTCATCGGATCAGTTAAATTTTCTCACTCTCGTGTTCGTTCATCTTGAAAACAATTGAAGCAATTTTGTATACATCGTATATCGGTCATATAGTATTGAGAAAACTGAATAATTCAAATGCACAAAAGCCGTGAATCTTAAAGACTGAAAATGAAAAAGCGTAAAACAAAGAAAAATTAAGCGAAAATAAAAACATTATGGAAGACAGCAAAATAAAGTGATCTTATGCAAACAATATTTCACTCTCACAAACTTAATAAAATTGAAACAGTGTATAAATCGCACGGCTATATAATTATGTACTTGTGTATGTATGTGCGATCTCCCCCGACCTTGAACTTGCCAAAAACAATTAATGCAATTATTCCATGGCCATACAACTATATAACCGAATGCACGCAACATTGGGCGTAGTAAGAAATTTACAACTTATACAAGCACTGAATTTATATATACGTATATAGATATGAGCGCTATATATATAGTTTGGACTATAACTAAACCGTTTAGGGTTTTAGGCAACATTACTTACTTTATGATGATGTTTAATTCGAATATATTCTAAGAAATTGGTTTGGGTTCGATGACTATACATTTTTTATTTTTGTTGAGTTGGTAAAGCGAATTGGATGAGCTGGAATACAGGTATAGTGCATTTTAAGAGGAGGTATTGTTAAATTTCATTATGTATCTCAAATATTCCAAAAGTGAATCCGTTGCGTTGCCCAACAAGCCATCCAAAATCGACTAACTCTCAATAAACAAAAACCCAAAGTGACACAAAACGTATTACATTTCCAAAAACTGAAAAAAAGGAAGTAAAGCCCTCCACATTTCAAAGAATGATTGATAATAAAAAAATTAATTCAATATTTATTAAGTCAATGCGATTTTACCAGAGAAAGCATTTCTAAAATTTTGAACGCAATTTAAGTTGGGAAGTTGGAAAAGTGAAACTGCAATATGATATGATATAACAACAAAACTGTAAACGTTTACTAGTCATTAAATATTTAAAAATTGACAACATAAATAAATGAAAGAAACATATTTTTTATTAACACTCACTGAAAAGCCAAGAATGAACATTTTGGCAGCATTTTATAAGCAGGAGCTGGCCCCCAAGAGCAAGTTACAAGTATTATTAACGAATTATATTATATGCTATAGCAAGTTGGTATTTATTATAATTAATGATATATGTACAATTATTTAATTAACAATATTGAATATATTTTTTAGAGAAGTAGCATGAAACGAAATAAAATTATTAAAAACAGAAAAACAATCCATGTCCCTTGGGTAATTGAAATATAGATATATCTATTTATATTGAATCATTTGGTAAGGGCGAAACTTAAATGGTTATTGACCATAAAATTAATAAACTATTAAAATCGACATTTTAGAACTACTGGGCATCGTAAAAAGCGAACTGAATATAAATTTTGTATTTCCAAATTAAAGGCCAGTAACATTATTCTAATTATCAATCTATTAAAAGATATTTTTTTCACAATCTATTTTCCCTTAAAATGTTTGTGTACTTGCAAGTTGTGAAATACCCTTTAGATATTTTCGAATTGAAATGGCAAGTTACAACAATAATTCGAAGAAATATAAAAAAGTAACATCAAAATATAAACCCAGACACCAGTAATAGAAGAAATAAATATATATATAACTTTTTAGAAAAAAAAACAATTTTTAATTTTAAAAATAAAACAAATGTATATGAGGATACTAAAATAAAATGAAAACAAATGCATTGAAATAATTTTGAAAATTTTGACCAAAAAATGTGTTTTTATGGTAAGATTGATTCAAAAGAACTAAATATATTCAGATGTAGGCGGTTAACATTTGCTCATTTCGATGCTTAAGTGTAGTATTCAATATGAACACGAAATAGACGATGAACTCAAGTATGTGGTAAAGAAGGATTTCCCATCAAATTCAAAATTTTGTTTTCGGTTTTATTATACATTTTTCAGCAATTTATTCAGCTTCTTGCATGTGTGCATAAAGCCAAATAAATATAGAATACATAAAAGGGATATATCTACAAATATAAAGGACACACGCATTAAATCAAAATGGGGCAACTAGCTAAACTAAATTAAAAGTATCAGTAACATCGATCGATCCCCACACATCCTTCATTCCAATATGCTAGGATCATAAAAAACCAAATCCAAATTGCTACACAATTCATTTGCTCCGTTTTGCTCTTTATAAGAATATTGTAAACATGCGGATGTAAGTAGTTTGCTTAAATCCTTTATATGTATGAGGTTTTTTAAGACAAAATAAGCCGACTGTTTAACAATTTCTCCTTGTGTCTTCGGGTGCTGGTCTGGGGATTTAATTAGTGTTTAGATTAAATAATCTCTGCCACAGCCTAGGCCATGTAGCTATATTCATCTCCTGAATTCGCGGTTCGCTCAATATATTGTTTGTCAATTAATGATTCCACGCATTTCTTGATCATTGCAATGTTGGGCGTAAAGCTTACTTTCGATAAGGAGAGAACCTGCGAAAAACAAAGAATTTTTTCTTTTCTTATAGTGTAATATATTATGTTATACCTCTTGTATTAGCGCATTGTGCTTTAAGACCTTGCGCGCCTTCATAATTCTGACAATTGCGGCTTGCAGGAACAATTTTCGATCCTCATCCACAGAGTTGATAGTGTGCTCCACCTACATGACAAACGCTGATTTAAAAATGCCTTATGAAATTGAATGTTACTCTTACCTCCTGTGGCGTTTCCTTTTGCAAAGCCGAACTTATCTTAAATTTTGTACGTTTATTTGTGTAATCCAAATTCAATTCTATTCGAGTCTCCCCGGCGAGATTCTCTGAGTTGGCATTCAACAGCTTTGACTCGATCATAGGCTGCATGTGCTTTTGAAACGTTTCTTCGTTCAGCTGCAGTGTGTTCTGGATCTCTCGACAACTCAGACTATCGCACGTCTCGAACAGAAGAATTATCGCCATTTGGTAAGTTTGCATAGTCACGATGTAGGACTTTTTTAAATGGCTCAACTTAAGTTCCCCATGGCACATGTGATGAAGCCAAGTCAACTTGCGACCACTAAACAATTTATGATAATAATCCTCGAACTGAAAATAATGGTAAACAAAATGTAACAATATTAACGGAGCGTGTCGTCAAAAAAACAAAGTAATAGTAATTTGGTTGGAACTGATTTCTGTTTCACCCAGGATTAAAAAAGATCATCGGCAAGCCGAAGTTTAAATACCCTTGCAGTTATTTCAAAACGACTACATTTCGATTTCTAATTCTATATTACTAAAAACAATGAAGCTATGTCTATTTGGCGCTGCATTTCTATGCAACATATTATTGAAATAGACGGACAGACAGACGGACATGGCTATATCGACTGGTGATGCTGATCAAGAATATATATACATTATTGAGTCGACAATGTCTCCTTCACTGCATTGCAAACTTTTGACGAAATTTTTAATACCGTCTGGGTAGGGTATAATATATAGACATAATACTTATGCATTATACTTATGTATTATACTTATGTATTATGCTTATTACTCTCAAGTTAGGAGCCGTTCTCTTGCCTTAAATATACAAAACAATTCATATTTAATGTTTGATTTTAATAATTTATAAATCATTTTTGGAGTATTTGATTTAGACCTATTTTAATTTAAGGGATTGCCATTAAAAACATACCATTTTAATAGATTTTTCAAATTCCTGTGGTACTGCGAATGGTATGACTTGCGTGGATCCCAAAGGCCACGCGCCCGCCTGCAGTACTTTAATGGAGAGATTAATGCCTGTGTAGGGATATACATGTTAAGAAACAATATTTAACAAAGTCAATCTTTTTAAAACATACCCAAGTCCACATTGTTATCCTTTAGGTGAGTATTGAACTTGTTATTCAAATCTGTAGATACCGAAATATCCGTAAACATTCGATGTAGTTTATTGGTAAATTCATATCCGCAGGCTTGCTGTAAAAATAAATTCAAAATTTAGTTCTATAAGAAAACATTGATGGAAGATAAGAAATGAGTTCATATAAATTACATCATAAATTACGTAATGATGCGGCTCCCTAAGATATTTATGTCTGTATTTTAAAGGTACCAAAACAGTTATGTCTGTCCCTAACATCGAAGGAACACTCACTTTCAATCGGTTGATCATTCCCTCCTCCGCATCCATGCTCTGGCTCTGCTCGTGGATAAGGCGCTTAGCCAGTAGTCGGCTATAGAACTTCTGGTACACATCCTTGTCCTCGATGTATTTGAATATGGTTATGTTGTTGGTAAGCTTTTGGTCGATCTCTGCCTCACAGGTCTTGGACTTTTTCAGTAGCGTATCACAGTATTTGGCCACATATTCCGCGCTGCGGCACGGCTGCCGTTCGGTGGGCCGGCGATTTATAACACTGGCACATGCTTTGTCCAACGCACTAAGGAAGAGAGAATCGTTTTCGAAGACGTCGGCTATGAGCTCCTGGTACTTGTGGTGCACCTTTAACATATTCTCCACAAACGCAATGTGGATGTTCTCGCCCTTCAAGGCAGAAACGGTCTGCAGACCCTCGTTTTTGATGTGATCCAGAAAAGTCGTAATAAGCTCGGACTTCAGATTGTCGGGTATGGGCTTGAGCACGATGTACATGTTGCGCAGGTCTTGGCGCCTCTCCTCGGACACCATTTCGCGGCATTCCGAGTAGATGAAGCCCAATCGGTCGTTGATGAACTTTTCCTCGCACTCTTTGCGCAGCTTTGGCAGGGAACTCACATGCAGAAACTTCTGTGCTCGCCGGTTTTCATACTCCAGTATTCGGATAACCTCCTGCATATACTCAGATACTGAGCAGCGCTGAAGCAGCTTGTTCGCCTCGTCTGTATAATAGGTGCCACTTGCATCCAGCATGGGACCCTCAAAGAGCTCCTGGTAGAGCTTCAGCGAGCCTGTTTTCTTGTAGTCCTGTACCTCCACGAAACTGTGTATCACCCCGTTGATGATCTGCACGCGATGGTGATCCAGTGTGCCATTGCTAGCCCTATCTGCGGCAATTCCCTCAAGAATGTGACGCACTAGTTCGCTGGCCAGAAACTCGACCATATACAGTCGCCAAATATCCAGTCCTAGCTCGCCAATCTCCATTTGTTCCGCAGCATCGCTGGATAAATTGCCGTAAAACGATTCCGTGTCGGTGATCTTCTGTTTCTTGATGTGCTGCTGGTTTAGGTAGCTATACGCAATAAACCCCAACCATTAGTTCGTTTTTAGGATAGCTGGATGTTGGATGCTCACATGTACAACTGGTGCAGATACTTAATGCCCTGGCTGTATTCCATCCAGGTAGTGTAGTAGCGATGAAGCAGGTCCGGCCCTCCATTGGAGTTGGAACCTTCGCCCTCGATCAACACCTTCTTGGCCAGCATCTCCTGGACGTGCTGCTCGAGGAAGTGCTTTGTCTCACCGTAGAGGCGATCGGCCATCGGTTCCGGCTGCGCCACGCACAGCGTGTAAACGTCGCTATATGTTTCGGGGAGGTGATTGGAAACAGCAATGTGTTAGTGAGTGTTTTATTTTAACAATTCCATTTTGGCAACTCACGCTGCACACATATGTACGAACAGCGTCAATCGAAATAATAGCAGCGCTAATAGTAAGTTACCCAATTGTTTACTTATTTTTTTAAAATCGTTTTTAGGATACTTTTTATTTCCTGAACATGTTTTCCTTAAAATTAAATGCTCCTTAGCTTGGATTGCTGTACCCATATCTTTTTTGAATTAGTAAATTAAATAGATGCCTACAAGTTTACACGAACATCAGTGCAATAATCAGTCTTGAAGATTAAGAAATAGTACGAATCATTGACAACTTGATTGTAGCCTTATGTTGCTCACAAAAGTAATTTAATTGATACACAAAAGGACATACATATTATATACATATAATTAAACTAAAAAATGAAAGGCGTTTTTAGTTAAAAATAATATATATATAATACAAAAAAATAATTATAAAAATAAAAAACATACTTATTGCACTTTTCGATTGATTGCCGGCAGGCCGAAGTTTATATACCCTTTCAGTTATTACAAAACGACTACATTTTGATTTCTATGCCTACATTACTAAAAACAATGAAGCTGTCATTTTTTTTCAATGGTTCATATGGAAGCTATATGATAAAGTCGCCCGATAACGCTCAATCCGACTTATTACTTCCTGCAATAGAAAGACAACTTTTGGGAAAGTTTCCAGCAGATAGCTTTAAAATAAGACGCACAGACAGACGGACATGGCTAGATCGACTCTCCTGGTGATTCTGATCAAGAATATATATACATTATAAGGTCGGAAATGTCTCCTCACTGCTTTGCCAAATTTTGACTGAAATTATTATACCCTCTGCAAGGGTATACAAATTAGTATGGCCTGTGGTAACTGAGCAATCTTTAAATGAATGTTCGAAAATTTGAGGTTTCTGGGTTTGATAACTGAGTGATCTTCGATTCTCGCGCTTGACATGGAGGGATTCCAAGACTATTGTCAGTTTTGTTATGATGTTCTCCTTACAACTTATGCTTTTCTAGTTCTCTGCCCCTACCGGGTGCTATCGTACCGACCGCTGCTGTGGGAGACCGAGACATACCTGAAGCTTGTATTCCACACCGAGCGCTCCACCTTGGTGAGCGTTATCACCGACTCTGCGATGCAGCGCAGGCGCGGCCAAACATCGACAAACTCCACTATCTTGGGCTTGAGCGACATCTCGACTGGGTCTGGATCCTGGGTCCTGGGTCCGTCTGGGGATGGAAGTGGAGGTTCTGCTAGTGGAGCAGTGCGGTATACAGAGCGGGATGGAGGCGGATTAGAAGACGGATTGGTTCCGCGGGCTGCGCGATTACAACAACGGGCGGAAGAGGCGAGAAGAGACGACCCCCAAACGACGGCTGCTTCTGCTATTTGGCATAATCGCGCAGCTCGCTCACTTTTTTGTGTGGGGGCCACTAGCCGTTGGCCTTGCACTCGGCCGATTTCACAGCTGGTCAGTCGCCGCTCCACAGGTCGCGGGGGTGCTCGAGCTGAGCGCCTACTCACCTGCTGCTTAACTACGCTATTTACTAATAAATTACGCCGAGAATTTGGTTTTTTTGCACTTTTTTTGCTATCGTAAAATGGGTCGTCAGACGGGGACGATATCGATATATCGATATGTTGTTATTGGTGCGCGATATCAGGGATGGACACACTGTTTTCCGAAAAGCCTTTTTTCTGCACCACCAGCTGTTTAACAGTGTTTGCCCATGGCTAAACATAAAAAATGAAACTTAATAGCTGTCTTCATCGGAAGCTCACAATTGCGTTTGACCTACATGCTGTTTGTTTGCTCATAGTCGCGTTGAGCCGAATACTGAGTGCTTGATTATTAGCCTCCATATTTAAAAATTACTACGTTTTCAAAATATTTATATAAATGTTATGTTTTTCCGTGGCATGTAGGGTCATTGTTTGCCTTCAATTATAATATTAATTAGTTGGTGTTTAAATTCACAACAGTATAAATTAACTAATTTTAAAAACTGTAAAACCAGTTATAAAAATTTAAGTCGTAATTATTATATTTCTGACAGTAAAATTACCGTTAAAGTAAGAACATTTTTTTTAGATTTTTAAGCAAGAAAATACTTATATAATTTAAAACGGTTTTTTAAATTTTTTTAGCCATATCATTTCATTTATTTCAAGGCGACATTGTTAAAATAAGAAAATTACTACATAAAAACTAATAAAATATTCAGTGCAAGAAGATTTCATAAACAAATTTATATAACTTTTTTTATAATAATATTTAAAATAGCGCAAAGATAATAAAGTAGCAGGTTATGCTCTGAAAGGCGTAATCTATCATAGGCGGTTATTTCCTACCTTGCTTACCTTCATTATCCATTAAAGCAAAGAAAGCAGCTATAACACTCGTGTAGTCTTCCAAAAAACTAAAAACCATTTGAATTATTTATTTTTTATTTCGCTATAATTTGCTAATTTTTAGTATTTTGTTTTTCATTTATAATTAAATTTTCTTTTTTCAAATGATAGAAAGTTTCAAATGCCTTAATGTGTTTCAATGGTCATAGCTCAAAACACAACAGTGTTTAAAACAAAATGATATACAAAAAATCTTGACTCTTTAATTAAGCTTTACTTCAGAAACTTTTTTTTAGTTTTAGTTGGCCAGTGGAAAGAATTAAATATTATTCCAGCTAACCCAATCATTTATACCGTTTATTGGTCTTGATTGTCATGCTTTAAGCCATCAAAATATTGAAATGAATGGAGTGTAGAGGTTGATGGACATACGCATTAAACTGATTTTAGATCAAGTTACTTAAGTTATTAATTTCGTTATGCTTGGTAAGTAAGTTCGTTTGTTGTTTCTTTGCTAATTCGTTGAAATTTTCTAATAAGCATGCGATGCCATTTATAAGTTTGTTTACATCTATTTATTTCTATTTATAAGGTATATATTTATTGGATGCTGGCGTCCAAGAACGCATGCCAAGGATATTATTTTACTCTCTATTTCATTTTCTATATTTAAGTAAGTTTGTTAACTAATTCATTATCGTTAGTTTCGTTTGCTATTTGGACTAGTTTGTGGGTTGCATTTGTTTGTGGTGGGATTCGGATTCTCAACTAATATTCTGTCCATATAACCATGATACTAGGAATTTTTTTTTATGTAAGTATTCCCATATTCATATTTTACACATTGAGATGCAAAATTGTTATTTTGTGACATACTAAACTACACATCAATTAGTTTTTAAAGCAAAACGGTTGTCTTATATATTAAAGTAATATAACAATTTTGTTTACAACAAAAACTTATTTACCTTAACCAAAAATACTTATTCGAAGTCAAAGTTAGTTATATTTTATTTTTTTAGGTACACAGTTTATAAACTTTTGAAACGCAAATTTATAAATTTAACTAAATTTTGGAATGTTGTTTTTTTTGTTTTTATAAATTGCTGCTTCTGGCATAGAATATCACACGAATACTGAGGCAAAACCAAATTAGTAGCAAGTAACAGCTTCATAACAGTTGTTTTCTAACAGACACACATCCACGCTACACTCGCATGCATACTCATAGATACACTTTCATACAGACTTAGGTGCAAATAATATCCAAGTTAGCTAACTATTCTAGCAAAGATTGAGATTCCCCCACCCCCGCTTGGCCAGCACTGCCATTTCCCAAACTCTGTTCTTGGGCGATTCCCTCACAGGGCGCCGCTGCCTCCTGAACCTTATGCTTCAGCAGGGGCATCTTAATGTCAGAGGCCTCCAGTTCGGTGGTGGATTCCAGAGCAGATGTTTCCTGTCCATGGAGCACAACGGCTGCAGGCGCTACTGGCTCAGCTTTCGACGTGGATTTACCCTGGAAAGAAGTAAAAATGAAATCAACTTTAAAATAAAAGCTAAATAAACTAAAAATTTAAGAAAAAAGAAATGTGCATACACAAAAACAAAATTATTCATATTTAAATGAATTTATATTGAAGATTAATTTTGGACAAATTTGTAAAAACTTTCTTTTTGTTACAATCGTTATCTGTGATATGTAAGAACTTTATAATTGGGTATTATAGCTAAATTATATGTAATTGAACTTTATTTTAATATTATTTAAGTTTACTAAATATACTGAGAATACAGACCTGCAAATAGTAGGTCATCAACTGCCCCTTTCCTTTGACAGCTACCAGACCGCGCTGCAGGAATGTGTAACCGAACGGCTGTAGAATATTGCATGTTTCCTCGGTGACCTGAATGGCGCCCGCCTTGCCAGTGCTCTCCATGCGCGATGCCACGTTCACCGTGTTGCCCCAGATGTCATAGTGCGGCTTACGGGCCCCAATAACTCCCGCCGTTATCGGTCCATGATTGATGCCCATCTTAAGGACGAAGTGATTGAACGACTGCTCATTGATACTTTGCAGGGCGTGCTTTAGTTCCAGTGCAAACTCCACCAAGACTGCGAGGTGGGACCATCGTTCCGTAATGGGGGCGTCGTTCCGGAGATTCCTTTGCAGATTTATTCCACTGGCGGCCATGTATGTGGAGCCAATGGTTTTGATTTTGATGATGTCCTGGAACTGGGGCAGCTCTAACAACTAAAATAAAAATAAAATCTCTATAGAAAAAATAATCATTTTGGGCACACAAAACTTTTTTATACCTAACTAAACTATAGCAAACATATTTGAACTTACGGCATCAAAATCTGAAATAACCTCATTTAGAAAACGTAGACACTCCAAGCCTTGATTGTTTACCGTCTCTTCGGAATAGAAATCTAAATAAAATATGTGGGTTTTTAGTCGTTTGCATCGCTAAGTTAGTGTCGTTAAAAATACAAATATGATTAAATATTCTGGCTTTCTACTGCCTTTTTTATATGTTTCATTAAGAATATCACACACAACTTACTGATATCTTAATGTTCATATAGAATCACGGACATCTAACATTTAAAAGTTGATTCTAACTTACCCGAAAAGTTTGGCATACTGGCAAATAAAACGCCGACTTCAGCATAACTTTGAGAGTAAAGATCATCGTGGGAGCGTTTGGTGTTCTTCATGAAATGCTCTGCCACGTGGACAGGTAACACATTATAAACCAAAGCCTCGTTGCGCTGTCGCATGTCGTTTGCAGTCTCCTTCTGCTCGGCCACCTCAGTTTTCCATTTGAAAATAACCCTATCCTCGTGGTCCATCTGCAATTGAATTATTTTATTCTACCGATTACATACAAATTAACTGTTCTTACGTGTCTGGCCAAAGTGCTTAACGCCAGAGACGCCACTAACAAAAGTCCTGAAGCGCAATATCGCGTAGATATGATACTAATAATGGACAAAGAATGTAATTAGTAAAATTTAGCAAAGGAATATAAACAGTGTAGATTAACTTCTCTAGACTTACGGTTGATGTGCCAAATCATCCTCTAGGGCATATAGGTCCTGCATAATAAATACATTGAAGTAACAATGCAGAGCTATAGGAATTTGTCAAAAATAATAAAATTATTAAATAATATAATACAATATTGTTAATTTTTCTAAATTACCTGCAATGGACAATAGTAGCAAGATTTTCGTAAGATGCGTAAGCTGAGCAATCACGGCGATCGCAATCAATATGAGTACTCCAAAATTACTCAAGTAGGACGGATATAGAACTCGTTCCGAGGGCACTGCCTCACGCATTTGTTCCACGAACGATGCGGGCAGCAGGTGCTCTGCGGTGACAACCCCTTCCTCGTCCACGTCCACATCGTTCTCCATGCCGGCCGTGGCATTGAATTCGCTTTCACTCACAATATGCTCGGTGCGCACGAAGGTGACGAAGAAGAACTGTCAAGGAAATAGAGGGAAATCAGTGTCAGGACTTGAGCACGCCCATAATACACTTGCAAAATAAAATGTCCAAATTCAAACTTAATTCAATAAAACATTATATTAAATGTTATGATGTTTTTAAAAAAGAAAGGGGGTTTTTAAAGAAAACAATCTGCCAAGCGATAATCTCAATACGAAAATTCAATCATAAAGGGTTTCTCTTGTAATTGTTTTGTAGAGATTTTATTTTTTTAGGCAGTTGATTAAAAAATTGAGATTTTCATTAAATAACGAATTTTTTGACAAAATTATTTTGTTAAGTGCATATCCCAATATGACAAAAGCATGTACTAACCATGTCTATGACATTACTGAGGCCGATGGTGAGTGCAATAATTATGGCGGCCAGCTCGCGAACGAAGGTAATGTCATTAAACCGCTTGCTCACGTCCACGAAAAACTTGGGCAGCATACCGCTGAAACTTTCGGCGATGCTGATCACAACCAGCATGGCGATCGGAACCAAAGGGGCTGCTATGTTGATGAAGTGAAGGGTAGATCGTGGCAGAACTAAATACGAATACAATACATCGATACACTGCACCAGCAAAGCGGCAAGGAGCGGAAGTGAACTGTACGGCTCTCTATATACGGCGTACGATTGCTCCAACTGCGGGTTCTTGAAGCGCAGAAATATATTTGTGTCCTTGGTGAGGTTCCTTAAAAAAAAGTATACATCGTTGTTTTACAAAAGGTTTAACTCAAAGAACCTTGTGCGAAAATCGTTAGGTTATTGCATTTTATATTACTCAAGGGAACGTACTACAGGCCCAATCTCATTTGAATATGGTAAAATATTTGCCTAAACAATGCAAGTATTGTTTAATATTTATGAAAAATAATTTTTTAATCCATATTTAATTCAGTTTAATCATATCTTAAGGATAAATAAATTTGGTAAGCCTTTTGAACTCAACGCTATTTAATATCACAGGCCCAAGTCTGTGACGATTTAAATTAAAATAATTTGTGTGGCACTGAGGTTTGTATTACTGTACTATAAACAATGGTTAATTAAAACTTACAGAAATAATAGAACATATTTCTATATTACAGAAATAATATAACATATTTCTATATTACAGAAATAATATAATATATTTCTATATTAGAAAAAGCAAAGTTTCAAAAATGTCAAATGCCCATAACTAAAAGTATTATTATTTTCTAAAAAGTATACATATAATATAGGATTTAAATGGTTTAAAGATACACATGCTGACCAAATTAATAGTTTTGAAAAATCTGGAGTGTGAATGACTAAAAAATTTTAAAAATATTCCGTTAATATTTTTAATTGCAGACGATTGCTTATTACTTATAGCCTAGGACACTATCTCAGGGTATGCGTGCTATTCCCTTTCTAGCACATTTTCTGTTTTTATTTTATTAAAAACGTATTAAATTGTTATTGTTTTAAAAACCGAACACTGTCTACAACCTTTATCCATATACAAATGGTTTATTTCTGTTATGCTTACTCATGTCCATCGCGGGTCACCAGTTCGTCTTTCAATCGTTGCTTGAAGTTCTCCAATTTCACCTGCTCTTCTTCATCTTCAGTCACCCCTATTTGATGGCCATTGGATACGGCATTTTGCGCCAGGAGCTCCTCATCATCCAATGTAGCATCGTTATCATCTTCACCTGCCAAGACGTCATTGGTCGATCCATTAGGACTGTGGTGGGAGTTAATATCTTGCGTTTCATTGATTTTCTTGGCACAAGGCGATGCAAACTGGGGAAAATTTATTTAATTTATTTAGTGCAAATGTGCTTAAACAAATTGAAACTAAAAAAAAGTCTAAAAAAAGTTTTAAACCTGCTTTTCTGTGTTATGCTTAAATCACATTTTGTCAATGTTTCTATAAAACACAAGGCCCTGTGTTAAAAACTAATCAAACCTAAAATCACGTCCACTCATGGTTAAATGTTAACTATACAACGCAGAAATGTAACTTTTACGCTATAAGTTACCCGCAATTTACCGGTTTAACCACCTTGGTGATGAAATAGGTTTTAAGTCCAGCGATGCGCAACAGCTCCTCCCGTTTTTCTCCAAAGGCGGGCTCCACTTCAAATTCGCCTTTGAGAAAGGCCAGCGTTTTGTCCGAAATGTGTACGCGTCTAGGGAGATTAGAGCGAATAAAATTTACATTCGAAAATTTAAGCCATAAGTGGTCAACAAACAGAACAGTGCGCACATAAACCCATAAATTTGCATGCTAAAGTGGCAAAGTCAAATCATAATAAGCACTTGCCACAAGTGACGACGACCACGATGGCTGTTATCAATTATGCAGCAGAGGGAGTGACGTGGCAGCAGTTAAACCTGACTTACCCAGCCTTGCCGCTCGATTCCATTTTATTAGCCAGCTCTACGTCCTTGGAGTAAACGTCAAACTGCCACTGCCGCTGGCCGAGAATGCCGGCGAGCACAGCTCCCGTGTGAATTCCCACACGCATATCAACAGGTGAGTTGGCCTTTTGCTGCACATACCTGCAAACAGAGAAAGTGACACGCAACATCGCCAGGCGAGTGGTTGTTTGTTAGTAGCGCCAGAAAGTATGCTTGGGAACAGGAGCTTCGACCAAGGGGCTTAAAGGGCCGAGCGTGGTTAAGTTCAATTATTATTAATTGAACAAACGTTGATTTGGCGTCGCCTTTCGCCTGTCAAGCTGTTTTTCTTCTTTCCCAAGGGAGCTGTCTTTCGCCGCTACTCACTTGATGGCCTTCACCATGGAGAGTCCCATGTGCACGCACATGACGGCGTGATCCGGACGCTCATCGGGGGCACCGCTAATACAATAATAGCAATCGCCAAGAATCTTGATGCGCAGTTGCTGATATTTCTAGGGGAAGAAGGTGATTTAATTCGAGTCAAACAAGAATAACAGTTTAAAGACTTAAGATTTTTGAAATGGATTTTTAAATAAAAGTAAAAGGCAATGCACAGTTAATAGCAGGTTTAATTTTTACCAACTTAATTTTACCAATTCCAGACACCCACGAAATACTCCCTTAAAAAATCATCTCTACCTCTTCACCTCAGGGAAGTTTTAACCGACACACATGAACACATCAGGGACCCATTTAGCCAAACCCGAGAAAAATCGCATTAAAATTACCTAAACCCAAAAATAAACAAACAACCGACAGCACTTAAAATAACCACAAAAAAATCACTCGAAGGAAAAAATCAACTTGAAACATTATATACGCCTGACTGGACATAACTTTTGTTGGTCATTCGCCCTACGCCCCAACCCAGGAAAATTACAAAAAGAAAGCCAAAATAATAGAGACAACGGAATGAAAAGTTGAACATGGAAACTGAAATAAAGGGAAAAAATCGAATTAAAGTAAGGAGCCACCCAATAAGAGGAAATATAAAAATTCCCTATTCTAAATGGCGTATCTTAAACATCATGATCATCATTAGAAGAAACCGGTATAAGTTGGACCTCCCAGACAACCCAGGCAGGTGAATGAACAGCTAAAATAAAACATACAGAAAAGTAGTCAAAAAAAAAACAATGACAAATGTTGAAAATGAAAACACAAGAAAATATTACCTCGGCAAGCCTATCGAAGCGTGCGAAGAGCTCGTTAAGCATTTTAACCAAATCTTGGGCGCTATATGTAGACGAGATGGCGGTAAAACCAACGATATCCGCATATAGTATGCTTGTTTCGTGCAAATAAAAAGTGGGAGAGATTCCGGAGTTTTATCGTTAAACAAGTGGAAACGCAATTGGGTTTTATTTAAGTATTAACACCTATAAATATGCAGCATTACGTGAAAGGAATGTTAACTATGGACCATAACTTGTGGTAGTAACTGAAATAGCTCTTAGCTATTATAATTATATCAAAGAACGAGTTTTAAATATTATGCTTTAAAAGTAGATAAATTATTCTTAAATGATCTATATTATTACTTATTATTATTCAACTGGCTTTAAAATGTAACTTCATGTGTACCTGTTTTTTTTTTAAGATGAAGAAAACCTTTTTATTAGCTAACTTATTTACCAACAGAACCTGTCAACATTATTACTTTCGAGCGCGTTATACTGCTAAACAAAAATATATTTACCACGATTACAGCTTTTGACCTTCTGCAAGGGTAGGAAGAAATTAAAAATAACAATTTTATAACTTACCTCACATTCTCGTGCCGACTCATATATATCTTTTTAAAAGCCTCGGAACTAGATGAGCCCAAATCCTCCCGCATTTTAATGGCCACGTGCTTTGGCAGAACAGACAAGAGCAAACGCTCCTAAAGTTGAAAAAAATTAAAATTATTACATTACAACCAGCCGTTACTCTTATCAATGATCACCTGCTCGGCCGACTGTTCCTCAATGACCATTTTCACTTCGAGGCTCTTTTTGGCCTCGAGGAAGGCTCGTTTCTGCTTGGCCTCGCCCATAAAGTAGTATAGGAGCCCTATCAGCGCTGCTGTAGCTATTAAAACCGCATTGGCCGCCAACTGATTTGGGATCAGCGAATCCCCGCCAGAGTAAGCCACGGGCAGGCTGAGACAAATAAAATACGTGATACATCCAATCGACAGCCCAAGGAAAATCAATGGCAATGGCAGCGTTACATAGACCAGGAAGTTTAGTAAGATGGCCCAGCCAAGAAGGTCTCTAAAATATTTGCGAATAAATAAAAAAAAAACGTGTAAGGTAATTCCAGCCCTATTAATACAATATTTGTACCACGATCATAAATATTGTTTCAATTCTTATTTAAGCAGTCTTATAAAGTGGGCACTAACCTTGGAGAGAAGCTAGGCTGCAAGAAAACATAGGCGGCAAAGTGAAGAATGCTTAGCAACCACAGAGCCCGTGGCACAATAGTTAGGAGTATTTGGTGGAAGCGCAACAATGACGGTTTCTCGGAACGCCGACCAATGTGAAGAAGAGCTGTTAAGGCCAAGTACGCCACCAGCATACAGCAGTTGACCACTGCAATTAAGTTAATTAAACATTAAGAAAGTATTAACTTATAATCTAATTTATTATTAAAACAAACATTGCAGCTGTTAGGCCTGGTACTCAGATCAAAAAACGATTTAATCTTTCCAGACTGACAGCATTTTTGAGAGTTCGTCAGTATTGAGTCGTACTGTCAATCAGCTGCGTTTGTTAAAGGATATTCTCAACTTCTTTAACAAGACAAGTCTGCCGCTACACAAAGAAATTATAAAACAATATAATTTAAATTTAACTTGTAATTATTTGGTAATTTAGAGATCATAGCTAACCTAAAGTCTTGCGATTATTCTGTGTTTTTATTGCGTTTTTCGGTCCATTTTCGACCTAAGAAAAACTGTGCTCTGATAACACCCCAAAAGATTGAATTTTTAAAAGTTCTTCTACTTCAATTTCAACAACACTTCTAAGAATAATTAAACTTCTCGAAAACACAAATCCTTATATGAACACTTTAAGTTTAAATTTCGTAGTTAAAGATAATTGTAATAATAAAATTTCTCAACAAACGCCTATAATTACGGGAAAGTTTTAGGTAAATCCCATTATAGTTTGAAAATTCCGCACCCTAAAATTATTATAATGCTTAAATAATTCAATTTCCCAACAAACGCCTATAATTACGTTAAAGTTTCAGGTAAATCCCATTATAGTTTGAAAATTCCTATTCTGACATATACAGAGTTGTCATTTTTACAATTTACTGATTACTCTACTTCGAAAAGATACACATCCACCTGGCTTTAGCATTATGTCTTGTGATTTCTACTTTTTAATACATGTTTTGCATGCTCCTATTCAATTTAACTAATGTTTTCAAAACACAAACTATTTCTTTGGCTTCTTTTATCAAGCATCTACTCTCAAATCACCTCTTGTTGGGACCGCCTGATCCCAGGGAATTCCGATGGTCCAGATGTTAAAAAGAACGGCGGCGAAGAGGAACCACTTTAGACCGCTGCGGCGCTGTTTAATGGAGTAGTTATGGTAGAGTTCGTTGAGCACGTTCTGCGGCAGGATTACGACTCCTCCGCCGGTGATTCCCACACCACCGGCTACATCGCTGTCGTTTTGCCGCCGACGGGCTGGTGTCTTCTGACGCTGCGCCTTTGGTTTGCTGGGCGTTGAGGTGGCCGTCGCCTGGCCGTTATCCAGACTGGCCTCCTTCTCCCCTGTCATACTGCTAGAATGCTCCTTGGGGCCCTCGGGATTTAATTATTCGTTGATCGGCGACCCTTTCTGGGCTTTCTGGTTTATGAATGAAGCGAAACCATTTCCTTGGCTCATTTATTTATGATGTTTGTAGCTCCTAGAAACTGGGAGACGACGGCTGGGTAGATAGAAGCAATTCGAAGCACAAACGTAAACACAAGTGAAAATACAAACTCGCGTTAACGGTTAATTTAAGACTTAGCGTTGCTTTGTGGAGCCTCCCGCCACCCCTTCCCTCCTGTAAATGTGTGTGTGGAAGCGAGAGGCACAGCGGAAGCGTCCTTGTGGAAAAACGACGAGGGCGTCCCTGCCTTTAAATGTGTGTGTGTGTATCTGTCTATGTGGGTGCCGCATAGTGGTTCGCATTTCCGAAAAATATATATACGGAAAAATTTCTTCCCAAGCATATTTTGGTCTTATACTTCTGTAGGTTTGTGATACTCTCAAAAAATATTTCTATGTGATAATGTTGAATCAAATATTATATTTGCATCGATAGTCAAGCACCACAAAAAGAATTGTGATAAGAGTTCTTTGAAACATAATTTTATTTTGTTGATTTAACACTATGGACACTGCATACATAAGATTATGAAAACTATATCTCGCACTGGAACTAAGTTCAAATGACATGCACAAGAGATAATACAATCTAAAAATTGGTTTCAAAAAATCGTCCAAAATTATCTGTAAAATAGCTACAAAAATGTATAAAAACACAAAAAACAGCAGTACTGCTTGCATATGCTCCTCTTTCGCCTCCCGTATTCAGAAAATCAATTTCCGTTTAACGTTAATTAGAGAAAATCGAGTTTCCTATTATAGGCACAAATTCAAATTGACTTGTCAAATTTCCTGCAGAGTCCTTTCCTACCCTCTGCCCAGATATGACTAAATTATTCATTTTTTCTGCCATATTTGACACCCGCATAGACCACGGTAAGAATCTCTCCCGCTCTCTCGTTCTTCCTCTCTCTCTCGTTGGGGCTCTCTCTCCCCCGCCACTTCTTCTTCCTTTTCATTGGACTGCCGTTTCCTTTCCTCATTGCCGAATATTCAACTGACGGACTGTGAAACACAGCTCCTTTCTTTTTCCTTACGGAAAATCCTTTTTCGTCTAGGTATGCGTTCGTGTTTGTGTGGGTAAGGCTGATTTGCACAAGGTTCGATTTAATGCGTTCTGATTTTGTTTGTATAGCTGAGCGTGGTGTGTGTGTACACACTTCTTATTGCACTGAAGACAAGTTTCGATTTTAATTTTAATCCAAATAACTGACACCTTAAGCCTCACGCCCTCCCTTCCGTCACACATTTTTGGGAGGCTGCGAAAACCGTTATAGCATGTACAGTTTATCTTTATCCGCATTCCGCGCTCCTTTTACTACCATCTCACAGTTAAACTGCTGAGCTCTCAAGCATACATACTTTGAAGGAGATTTTTCTTTTTCGATGTGTTCAGTTTTTCCTTATGAGTTTTATTTCTGCTGCCTGGCGATTCTTCACGCTTAACGCCGCGCTTTTTTTTCGACTAAACTAAGGAGCCCGATAAACTTGACTGATAGTCAAGTGAAAATTTTCGACAGTCAACAAGCCTCAGGAGCAAGGATTTTCGTTCTCTCGGATGGGGAGCGAGCTTTTGCTGCTGAAAGCTCCGCTCAGCGCATGTCTGCGACCTGGAGCGGAGCATGCCACTGATAACGGTACAGCTGGCCAGCTTGATAAGGCGCCCTGCATAATCGCCAGAATATTACCGCAAGCGCAAAAAGTTAATTAGATAGGAGCATTAATGCTTCTCGCAAATCGGTAATTGAACGACGGGTAAGACGAATATAAGGCTGCAGCTGGCCTTGAATGGCATTGAAAAAGGTGCAGCTGCTGTCTGAGAGAGTGTGCGTATACGAGTGAGTCGGGTGCAGATGCAAAGGAAATGCTCAATAAAGCGGAAGACGTTTTCCTTCTTCAATATGGCTGTGATGTACATACAGTGGCTCACAGCTTATTTGACCCACACCTAATTTTCAACATTAAACAGGTATAACTCCTGAACCATAAGAGATACCCATAAAAATAGAACGCAGAAAGGTTAACTGTTGTTTTAACTTCAAAAATATGTTTTCATTTATTTATTCTAGCAAGGAACTTCTTAATTAAACAATAAAAACTAAAAATACTGCCTTTTTCAATGCCACAGCTTATTTGACCCAGTTCATCAAATTAATTATAAAAAATTGCAAAAAAATATTTTTTTAACTTTTAGTATTTGGTATGTCCGCCCTTTTGGTCCACAACCGACTTCAGTCGATTGGGAATAGATTCGACCAATTTTTTTGTGGTTTCTGGGGTGATTTTAGCCCATTCTTCGAGCAAAGCCGTCTTCAACTCATTTTTAATGGAAATATTGCGCTCCCGAATTTTTGAGTCCCGCAAAGCCCACAAATTCTCAATAACATTAAAATCGGGTGACTGAGCTGGCGATTTCATTATATGGTGACAATTATAACCCAGGAAATATTGAACTATAACCGACTTTTGCTTTGGGTCATTGTCTTGGTAGAACCGAAAACCCTGTTTTATTCCCAATTTCTCAGCACTTTGGAGTAAATTATCCTTAAGGATATCAAGATAAACATTTTTATTCATTATGCTTTCAATAAATTTTAGGTTTCCGACTCTTGCTGCGGACTTACAGGCCCAAACCATAACGTGTCCGCTGTCATGCTTAACGGTGGGTTTTAGATGTTTGTCCTGCAGCTCTGTATTGGCTTTACGCCATACGTTAGAACATAATTTGGACCCAAAAATATTACGTCATTTTCGCTGATGAGTCAAAATTTAATATTTTTGATCCGATGGACGTTCTTAGCTATGGCGTAAAGCCAATACAGAGCTGCAGGACAAACATCTAAAACCCACCGTTAAGCATGACAGCGGACACGTTATGGTTTGGGCCTGTAAGTCCGCAGCAAGAGTCGGAAACCTAAAATTTATTGAAAGCATAATGAATAAAAATGTTTATCTTGATATCCTTAAGGATAATTTACTCCAAAGTGCTGAGAAATTGGGAATAAAACAGGGTTTTCGGTTCTACCAAGACAATGACCCAAAGCAAAAGTCGGTTATAGTTCAATATTTCCTGGGTTATAATTGTCACCATATAATGAAATCGCCAGCTCAGTCACCCGATTTTAATGTTATTGAGAATTTGTGGGCTTTGCGGGACTCAAAAATTCGGGAGCGCAATATTTCCATTAAAAATGAGTTGAAGACGGCTTTGCTCGAAGAATGGGCTAAAATCACCCCAGAAACCACAAAAAAATTGGTCGAATCTATTCCCAATCGACTGAAGTCGGTTGTGGACCAAAAGGGCGGACATACCAAATACTAAAAGTTAAAAAAATATTTTTTTTGCAATTTTTTATAATTAATTTGATGAACTGGGTCAAATAAGCTGTGGCATTGAAAAAGGCAGTATTTTTAGTTTTTATTGTTTAATTAAGAAGTTCCTTGCTAGAATAAATAAATGAAAACATATTTTTGAAGTTAAAACAACAGTTAACCTTTCTGCGTTCTATTTTTATGGGTATCTCTTATGGTTCAGGAGTTATACCTGTTTAATGTTGAAAATTAGGTGTGGGTCAAATAAGCTGTGAGCCACTGTACATCAAACACTAAACAAATATATATAAACATATAAATATACTTGTACATATATAAACACAGTCCTATTAACAATAATTATTTAGAAAAATGGTTCTCGAAATTTTCGAGGTAGAGAATGTTGAATTTGGTGAATTTATATGCAATTACAAATGTTTTTACTGATTTAATTGATTGCCTCAATATTACTGGATTTAATTTTAAAAATCCTTATCTGCTTCCGTATAAATTTATGCCATATAATTTCATTATTAATAGCAATGGGTTTTTATATGTACATTTATATATATTTTTCCACGGCAATAACCAGAAACAAAGGAACTTCGCCAAATTTTATAAACCCCTGCAGCTATTAAAACAATAAAATATTTTATAAAACGAATATTTGTAGTTTGTTTTGGTTTATGGTTTATCGATCGATCTGCGTGCTGTATGAGTTATAAAATCATACTTCTAAACTTTTAAAACAAAAAGTCTTGGATTATATCCTTATTTGTTTAAAACCCTTTAATAAAAACAAAAGAGAAAGCAAACTTCGGCAAGCCGAAGTTTATATACTCTTGCACTTATTACAATATGAATACATTTCGTTTTCTATGCCCACATTACTAAAAATTATATTACTCTCTGCAAGGGTATAACTATGAAACAATGTCCATTTTGCCGTAGTTTCTATTGCAGCTACATACATATATGATATTGTTGTTGGATTTTGAATAAAACTAAAAGCGTAATTCTGATATAGTAAATAATTACTATATCTCAAAGGAATATTTTTACAAATAGAAAAACAGCCAAATATAAATCTATTGTATTAGTCCGACATATGTACATATATACTACCTGCAATAGGAAGACATTTTTTGGGAAAGTTTCAAGCAGATAGCTTTCAAACTGAGACTAGTTTGCGTAGAAACGGACGGACAGACGGACAGGCGGACATGGCTAGATCGACTCTCCCGGTGATGCTGATCAAGAATATATTTACATTATAGGGTCCAAAAAGGTCTCCTCACTGCGTTGCAAAATTTGGACTGAAATTGTAATACGCTCTGCAAGGGTATAAAAATTGCTTTTTTCCAGTGTAGTGTATATATGTACAACAGCTGGTTCTCCTTACTGAGAACTCAAAGTAAAGGAGACATGTGCACTTAATACACAGCGAGGCAACAATTTCCCAGCAGCTGCCTGCCAGTGCATTTCATTATGGTATTAAACCGACCCATTTACCTGGCTACCTGGGAACGGTTCCGAGCAACTGGAAAATTGTAATTTCCGCCTGTGATTAACGAACGTTTTTGATTGATTGTGTCGCCTGCGTAACAGTTAAGAAAATAGGGCGATTTTACTAACATAGTTCTGACTATTGCAACATGTAAAAGCCTTACCAATACATTGATTTTCAAATTATGTCTCTAAAGAAGACAGTAAATGCAGCTGCGTTCAGTCGCAGGACATCTTAAGGGATCCGAACGTCCAACACCAACATCTGTCATTTACCTGAAAACGGTACTGGATTCTCAGGTATATTTCTCCAATGGCAGGAATTAACAATTTCAGTAATTTTGACTACAATATTCACCGCGCAGTACAAAAGCAAGCTGGCAACCCTGTTTCGAGATGAAATAACATTCATATTCTTAAAAATAACTGTGACAAAAAAATAAGTTTCACCACTATCGCTTTCAAAGAGAGCATTGCAAAATATCTCTCATTTGGTGTTGCTTAATGCCGAAATATACGCCGCAAGTTTACAAAGCTCTCACCGCTTTTCCGCTAGCTTTTCTCATATACAAGTAAAGCAAAGGAATGGAAATTGTGAAATAAAAAACAAAGGCAAATGTTCATAAAAGTTAAGCTGTACCTAAAGTAAACTACTTTATGCCGAAAAATTTTAGGGAAACTGCTAAGCCGCAGGCAGAGTTATCGTAGGCCAGACTGAGAAACGACCCCTACCAACACTAGAGCGCGCCGCTTTAAAAGCCGGGCCAACGCTCTTTGCTCTCTCATTCGGCGTTTTTCTTCGTGACTGTGTGGACGTTCTCACTACGGCTAAATCTCCAGCAATCCAGCGACTTTCTTAGCAAAGCTACTAAAGAGGAAACGGCAGTTTGCACAAATTTATAAAATTTGCAGTTTATTGAAAACTACGTGTTGTTCGAGCCCTTCGAGTCGTGTTTGACGCATACCAAAACCTTTAATTTAAACGTGTTTTCGCGCTTCGCTTTTGAAAAGTAAAAACCGTAAATCAAAATGGCTGATGTGGCTGAGCAAAAGAAGTGAGTACTTTGTTTGCATTGTATGCGGGTGTCTGTGTATTTTGTTTAAACAATTGGATGGATTGGATTTTAAGCGAGTTTCGCTTTTTGGATGTTCATCGCAACGGTTTGGAAAAATTTTCTTTTGAATTCTGTGTGTCTATATACGCAAACCGCTTGGCAGCACTAAAGCAGTTGTCCCGCTCGCGCCGATGGCCGTAGATGTGCGCGCAAAAAACGACGCCGTTGAATTTGGCGCGGCGTCATGGTGCCTTCTCGCTCATTCTCCGGCCGGCAAACCAACGACAACGAGAATTTACTTGTGTGTGTGCGTGCGGTGGTGTTGGCAGCGGGGTAATGTTTGTGCGAGTGTGTGCGTGCGCCAAGCGAAGTGCGCAAAAAAATGTATGAGAGTGCCGACTGAGTGAAGCATTTTAGGTTGCCGCTCTTTTTCTTGTGCTGTTTAATTTAAGCTGTATTTTTTCAGGCTCTGTTTGCTTTTGCTTCCTTCCCCACCAGCCCATTAATTTTCGTCAATTTTCTTTCACACGTCTGCTCGCTTAAAGCTCAAAACTTGGCATTAACGGCCAACAAATTCTTGTACTAGCTTCCAGGTATTTAGTCATTGCCGAAAATAATCGTACGCGGGCCGGCTCACAGATTCTTTTCGAGCTTTTATTTTGTGCTTTTCAGCGGGGGTGGTAAAGAAAAGCAGGAAAACCGTTATATCTGTTGTCTTAGGTTGTGCCGGTTTTCTATTGGGATAGGGGAGGTGCGCACTTAAGGTGTTTTATGGCTGGCTGTGTGTGTGATACTTTTGACCGTTATTTTTGTCGCTTTGCGTTGTACATTTTACAACTCGTCGCTTGAACCGCCCAACTCCCTCTCTCCTATTTAGCTACGTGACGCGCGCACATTTAAACAGCTCGAAAGTATGTGCGAGCGAGTCGACCATAGTGTCTCAACCGCATAAAAACCAGTTTTTTTTTTATTTCTCGGCTTGTTCGTTTTATTTCAAACAAGTCGCGCTTTTTACTTTTTGCAAGTCTGCAAAGCATCTCTTTTATGCTACCCACATTTCGTCTGTGTTGAAGGTAAAGAAGGAATACACACACATGAATGCATGCCATTTATATGGAAACGAGCACGCTGCCAAATGCCGCTCACCTTTTCTGGTTTCTTTTTGCGTCGCAGTTTGCACAAGTTGTTGCTCCCATTTATCATTTTACGGTAGCGACGCCGGCAGATGTTACAAAGATGCCTGGTGATGTTGTTGGTAAGCGCCCTGCTCGTCCTGGGGTTGGTGGTAGAAGTGGAAAGATAAAGTAGGAAGAAATAAAAAAAAAAATCTGCCGGCGCTACGATGGAAAATTCATTGGAAATTTGAAAAAGCCCTGTTGTAATTCATTTGAAAAAATTTACAACAAAATTAAAGTATTGAATTATTTATAATTTAATAGCAGAGAAAATATTATTTAGTCAGAATTATATTTAAAAATGTAACTACGTTAAGGAAGGGGTATAGTGCTAACATTTTTTAAATTGATTCGAATAAAACTTCCGAAGTTTTGGGCAGTTGAACGCTGGGTGTCCAAAACTTCAAAATGCTCTCCTAAAAAGTTGTCATTTTCGAAAGTCGGTGTACACGATCCTGAAAAACTAATGGACGACTCGGTTTGAAAATTTGCACAGAACTTATTTACTAAATTCCTCAGGTAACACTGTCTTCGCTGACTATTTTTGGGCGGCCGGAGATTGGCGATTGTCTATATCTCACTTACTTTTCAATATTTTTGCATGCAAATTATTACACATTGTGGAAATGTTGTATTAAATACATGGGGAAAAAAATTGAACTGAAGACTATCCCAATTAAAATTTGTAAGAATTTACCGATTTGGCAGCGAATTAACTATACCGCCCTTAAATGAAATGTTGAAATGTTTGGACATTTTGAATTCATTTACCTTTTTAACTATCATTAGTAGCTTACCAATGGTCTATTTTATTATATATTTTGGTTTGCGTAAATAGGTTTTTTAATGTACTTACATTATATGTATAACTGAAATTATTGATGCAGTTATGGATACTGTTTTTGGAAGTTACCGATGATTCAGAAAGTCACCAAAAAAAGATTAGAACTGCAGATAGTAAATGTAATATTTTAAGAGATGACCATAAAACGTAAATAATATTGAACCTGTTTTAACCTGATTTTTTGTAATCTACAGCGAGACCCCTGTTGTCGAGAAGGTCGCAGCTGAGGAAGTCGATGCTGTGAAGAAGGATGCCGTTGCCGCCGAGGAGGCAGCAGCTGAGAAGCCAACCGCCACAGAAAACGGTGCTGTCGAAGAGGAGAGCGCCGCCAAGGAGAACGGTGCACCGGCTGCTGAAAGTGCGGCACCCGCCGAAGCAGCCGACGCCGTTGATGGCGAAAAGGCGACCGAGGCCGCTGCTCCTGCCGCCGCCACCCCCGAGGATGAGAAGGAGGAAAAGAAGGAGGAGGACAAAAAGGAGGAGTCTGCTGTTGACGGCGAGGAGGCCAAGAAAGAGAGCAGCGAGGCAGCACCGGCTGCTGTTGAGAACGGCGCCGAGGAGGCCGCTAACGGTGACTCTACAGGTGTGTAGAGAAGGCAGCCAGCCTAAGGGATTTCCCGTTCAGGTTGCTAACTTCCATTTTTTTTTCCATTTCCAGACGCGCCCGCCATCGAGGCTGTGAAGCGGAAGGTGGACGAAGCTGCTGCCAAGGCTGACGAGGCCGTCGCCACGCCGGAGAAAAAGGCGAAGCTGGACGAGGCCAGCACAAAGGACGAGGTGCAGAACGGGGCCGAGGCCAGCGAAGTTGCTGCCTAAGGAAATCGTCCGCGGAGCAACAGACTCAGTAATCTACATATAAAATACTTACTAACACAAAACAAACACAAATCACACAAATAACGGTTCTACCACCAGCCACGCGCACCGAATTGCCCACCGCCCGTCCGTGTGGGCGGGTGATTCGTGGGTTGCTGACTGGGTGGTCGAATGCAATTCTATTATAACAATCCTGCAATGGGAGCGTAGTTAATGCGTGCCGATTCTCTCTGTCTCTACTAACAAACAAACAACCAACCAACCAACAACAAACGAGAAACAAAAAAAAATCCATTATCATTTAAAACCTTACTTAAAAACTTAACTTTAAAGCAAAGTATATATAGAAAGCAAAAGATTAAGAAAAAAAAAAGTAAGCGAAAGTATGATGCGAGACCCTCTATGTTTTAAGAATACAAGTTGTAAACAAAAAGCGTCAAATTTAATAATTGTAATAATAAATACGAAGCGAATGAAAAAAATTGCAAACAAAATTTCTAAATAAGAAACAAACCATAAGAAATTTAACGGCAAAAACCCTTTTTTTGTCACTTAAAAAGTTATAATTTTACAACTTTATCCTATATTGTGTATGAATATTTATATATATCAAGCAAGCAACACTACAAAAACAGCAAAATGTAACAACATGCTGCCAACAACAACACCCCCATAAAAGTTTCTGCCAACTGGCAATGAGACAAAACAAATCATACCACATAGAAACAATAAAAACAAAAAAAAAACGGAATAAGGAATTCAATTTTTTATATAAAAATCAAAGCGTAATTTCTGAATAGATGGGCGACGACATTGAATTGAAAGTAATTGAGCTTGCAATGTCTACACAGCTATCATTTTGTTCATCAAATAAGTACTAGTATTATATTTGACCAAGATTTTAAACTTTTATTCGCAATTTTCCGTTAAATCACCTTTCCGTTTCTTTCCTATTGTCTTTGCGTTCGAAATTGTTTGCTTGGCGCGTGTACTTAAGCCAATCTTACTAATTTGTAAGTTAGCCGACATCTACAGGCAGCCACCAACATTAATCAGTTTAGGGCCGAAAATCAGTAATGGGCAAACAACACCGACATTTAGCAACAACAATTCGAGAACATTCAAAAATAAATGGAACAAGTAAAAAAATTATCAGAGTATTGTTTCTGTTTATGGGTTTGAGGTTAAGTTTATTTAATATTTGTTGTAGTTTCTAAGAAACGCTCACCTAATGGGCTAGTGGCCGCTACTGTACTTTCGTGGATGAAAAGCTGAGGTGTGAACAATCGCGGTGGACATTTTTCAAGGACTGGATGAGTAACCTATTGGAAGCATCTAAAAGAAAGGAAACTTCGGCAAGCCGAAGTTTATATACCCTTGCAGTTATTACAAAACGAATACATTTCGATTTCTGCATTTTCTTTGGCAGCTAATGATATTGTTGTCCGATTTTGACAAAACTAAAAGCGCAATTCTGATATAGTAAATAGTTACTAAATCTCAAAAGAATATTTTGATAACAAAAAAAAACAGCAAATGAGGTTAAAAATTTTTTTTAATGTTTGGATTTTCTTTTTGGTTTTATATGATATGGTTGCCCGATTTTAATTTCATTAAAACCTTAGTACCTTAACATTATCAAATCCGAAAGAACAGCAAAGCAATGACTCGCCTGGTGATACTGATCAAGTATATATATAATTTATAGGGTCGGAAATGTCTCCTTATAGGGTCGGAAATGTCTCCGCGTTGCAAACTTTTGACTGAAATTATAATACCCTCTGCAAGGGTATAAAAACCTATGGTATTGTATATTCTACCAAAACATTCGAAAGAATGTTTCCGGATTATGAATAATTCCAATCTCAATCCCATCCTTTAAGTTTGATCAAAATCAAATAAATCGTATGGCTTTCATATATCGATTCTCTTGTTACCGCTCAGTAAACATACAATGTTAACGTATTATTCGTATGTTTAGTAGTAAAAAGCTTTATTCTGGGAGCATTCAAATATCTCTTTGATGAATCACATCTCGTTTTCAAAAGCTTTCAGTGCTATATTGAGATATGTAGTTTTTATAAAAGCCTTAGGAGTGCTAAAAAGTCAATATTCAAATTTTATTTATTAATTAAATATATATGATAATATATATAATAAAACTAAAACAAAAAAAAGAAAAAGGTAAAAATAAATCACTAGTTTGTCAAAATAAAATTTATTTTAAACTTACATAGTTCCCTATTTTTATACCATTGCAGAGGTTTTTATAATTTCAGTCAAAAGTTTGCAAAGCAGTGAAGGAGACATTTCCGACCCTATAAAGTATATACATATATACTTGATCAGGATCACCAGGCAAATCTCAAACAGTTGGCGAACGCTTTTCGCCAGGCTCTTTTTTACCACGGTACTAAAGCCAGTCATGAGAGAGAGCGAGAGGCAAACAGCTGGCGTTCACTTTTCGTCACAGTTTTTTTCACCTCGGTCCTCAGATCGACGAAAAAAGACCAGAAAATTGCGCAGTCTGCGGAAATTAACTTTGGGTGAACCCTAGAGAAAAGATTAAAAAATTTAAGCCTAGTACTCAGATCGAGAAACGAGTATGCTAGCGTAAAAACTTTAATCTTTCCAGTATGACCAAAATTTCGAGAGTTCATCAGAATTATGCGTGCTACGGTCGTACTGTGAATCAGCTGGGTTTGTTGACAAGCAGTTAAAATTCAAATATCGTATTTGCGGGAAAGAGCCTTTAAAAGATATTATCAAATACCTTGGCAAGACAAGTCTGCCGCTGTATAAAGAAATTAATTGATAATTATTTGATAATTATTTGCTAACTTAAAGTTCATAGCTGCAATTATTTCTAACAGGCGATTTTTCGAAGTTTATTAATGTGATTTACATTTTTGACCTAAGAAACACTTTGCCCTGACAAGAAGCACCCCAAAAGATTATTTTTTTTTATATTTTCGCTAGGGCCTGACGAACGTTCATCCAGACATCATTTCAGGTGGTTGGCAACGCGATGTAATTTTCTGGTATTTTTCGTCAATCTGAGTACCTGTGTGAAAAAAAGAGCCTGACGAAACGTGTTCGCCAGCTGTTTGCCTCTCGCTCTCTCTCATAGCTATCGAACAGATTTCGTCGATCTGAGTACTAGGCTTATATCAACTGGTGAGGATCAAAAACAAATAATTTACCTGGAAAACGCTAAGCAAACAGTACATTTTTGGTTTCATTCAAAATATGCTAGGGTGATAACCTCTATGAGAAATTCCATGTCCGCGATCCGGCAAGGCTTGAGTTTTAGTTGGCAACACTGGCACCCAGTATGGCTAGGCAACGCAATATTTATGAGTTGCCATATTCTTTCTTGGTGAGCGGGTAATTTTAAAGGGGACCGTATATATTAATTTTCCTGAACTTACATATGAAGTTTTTGATTTCAATACAGCATAAGCATTTTGTACTTATATTTATTTAAGCGTTGATCAACCAACTTAATGGCTACACAAAGAATGGAAATAACAAAGAAGAAAAAATAACATGAAACATAAAAGAATGCAGCTATATTTAAAAATTTTTTAGTTAAAATTGAAAAATATTGGCTTTTTAAAACTTTTGTTTATTATTAGCAGTACAGAAGGGTTAGGCTGCGGGGCGCTCGTGCCGTTCGTCACGAAATATCTAGAGAATCCATCAGAAAAGCTTTTGTACATATATTTTCGAAACGCAGTTGATCGTATTTGACCTAGAAAAACCACAGTGGAAAAATCTAACCTAATGCAAACAATAAACAGGTTTTACATCGCTGTCAGGGCACAATTCCAAATTGTTTTTCATTTTAAGCCTTTATCATATTTCTGTATACATTTATTTGACACATTATTTTGAAATAAATATGAAGTCCTAAAATGCAAAATTAATGTTTCTAAAGCAATTAAAAATAATTGTATTTTTCTGGACTTCATCAAATTCATATCGTATTGCAAAAATAACAACTGATAAGATAGCAGAAGAAACGCTAAAAGAGGCAAAGGAGAGAGTTGGAAATGCGCTCGCCGTCTCTCGCTCTCGCTACCATTGGTCCTACTAAAAATAAGCTTTAATACTTGCCGCCGCCGATCGAAGGCGGCGAGTGTTAAGCAGTCGAAACTGAAACGTTCTCGCAAGAAGACGCGTTGAAACCGATACCAAAGCAGTAAATGTGACTAAATTCGCGCATGTACTTAATAATACAATATTGTCATTGTTGTTGCAACTATATTTAATACCAAGTGACGTCGAAACAACGGCCAATAGCAATCCGTTCAAGTGCTTTTAACCTCGTGCTCGTTGCTCCATATTGTTGCTGTCTGACGCCGTGTTTTTGTGAGTGCCTACGTTCCGGAATTACCAACGAACATTAATAAAGCAAGAGCGGACGACGATGTCCACGAACCTACAAAAGGTAAGAAGGCCAAAAGTCGCAGACGTCGCTTACACATTTTCTTCCCAGCATTTTGCAACTTTGTGTTTTCCCAACATTTTTTTCCGCAACTTTCGTCCAAAGACCGCTGTGGGAAGCTTTTCGTATTCACATCGTACCTGTTTGCTGGAGTGTACTTGTTATTGACAATTGTTTTAAATTAAATATTTTTGTACGTCCCGTACCAGCTATTATATTAAAATCTACTTACGCATTTTAAATATTTAAATACAATTAGTATTATTTTTTGTATATTGAAAGATATAGACATATGTATATTGACATAGACATATATTGATTAAAGTGGGTTAAAATTTGAGCGTAATTTTGTGCACCATAATAAAAGACTTTTCTTTCTGTCTCCCCTTTTTCCCATTGTTTCCATTATTCACATTGTTATTCTTCAAGATTTGTTGTTTTTCTTATGAATTGAAATAAGATTGTCCTTCTTATGGTTCATTGACTTATTATGACTAAATCAGCGCCTTGTCTTCCAGCCTTTGAGTGCTTACTTTATTCTCATTCCATTTACAATTTCAACGATCCCTGTCTGATTCGCAATCACACAGAAAGGTTTCTTATCGACACTCGTGGATCACTTCTTCGTAAATGGGCAATGACTCCCTATTTTATTCTATCTTATCAGTAATACGGCGTATAGTAATTTCGTATATTTCATTTTTGAATCGCGTGTGGGGTCACCCGGTTTTCAAAAGCGAGTTCTGACCAGTCTAGATTATATGACCGAATGAATTTGTTGCGGTTAGATAGCCACCAGTTAAAGTCACGTGTTTTTGTCATTGCGCAGTTAACATCTCAATTGCAGTAAGATAAATTATAATAATTTATGCCAATAATTCAATACCATTTACTTGTAGGGACTTTTTGTTGAAAATAATGTTAGCAGGAAATTGGAATCCCCATTTTGTACATATATAACGCTCACAAACAATTATTAAGTTATTAGGAAATTAAGATTAAAATGCGTAACAATGACGTCAGCGTTAGTAGATAAAAATCTTAAAAGTTCTTGTTTTTATCGACACGTCTATATTTAAGCCCTAATTCTGATAAGGTCGCATATGTTTTTTTAATTGATCTATTGTGGGTAATTTACTAGGTTTATAAAGCTTTTTGTATACACGAATAAATGACTAAGCTTATATGTAAATAATTTTATACATATGTACGTATGTGTTAATAATCTCATTAGCACCACTGTAAGTTTTATCAGTAAATAGAGTGTCATTAAGCGTATTTTTAAAAATGGAACTATAGACTGGGTTTTTATAATTGGGTTTTTCCTATTGCGTTATATTTGCAATTTGCAATTTCCACGGCTCTCCAATTTAAGCCTTAAATTTTGAGTATCATTAAATACTCATTATATGGGAATACTAAACGCCACTTATTGTTTATTATTTATGGTATCTTGATTGCAATAGATAAGATCTAACCATCAACAAGTGCCCATAAATCAAGTCATGAATTCACGTGTTTTTCACTTATCAAATCGAAACATGTTGATTTATTAGAAAGTTAAATTTATTGCAAAGATTAAAAATTATCCTTCCCGGATTCAGTTTAGAATGCCCGTTGTTTGTTTCTAGGAGAATTCGATGCCAATATGACGTGTGCGGTCCAAAATCACATGGGCTATCAAGCTAAGTTTGCAAAATTTAATCAATTGAATTTTATTTTTTGGTTGTTTGGCTTATCAATTAAGAAATGCCTACATAGTTTGAGTATTTGGTTATCTTTATATAATAGTTTGCTGATAAGTACGCAACATTTTATGGCCCAGGAACTGCCTAATAAAATGTATTAAGCCATTAAGAAACTAAGAAATGTGGTCGTTTTGGTTGGCGATTTTCCTGAAACGTTTTTTTTTAAACCAAACACGAATTAAGCACAGCTATATCCATTAATAAATAATACTTTCATTAATCTTAATCGTTGGTGTTGCACAGAGTTATCAGTTTTACATTTAAGCCTAGTATCCAGATCGACGAAAACCGTACGCCAGTCATGAGAGAGAGCGAGAGGCAAACAGCTGGCGTTCACTTTTCGTCGGGCCTTTTTTTCACGTCGGTCTCCTGATCGACGAAAAAAATACCAGAAAATTCCATAGCGTTGCCAGTCTGCGGAAATTAACTTTGGGTGAACCCTAGCGGAAAATATTAAAAAATTTAATCTTTTGGCTTGCGCTTCTCACTGAACATTATAAGAAATGGAGGGAAAAACTCAAAAAACTCGCAAAAGTCGATTGCAGGTGTTTACATGTGAAGACAAAATAACATTAATACTATCTCGGGTGCCTCTTGTCAGAGCAAAATGTTTTTTAGGTCCAGAATGTACGAAAAAACACAATAAAAGTGCAGCTATGAACTTTAAATTAGCAAATAATTATCAGTAAATTTAAAAAAACAACTGTTAAATGTAAATTGTATTGTTTTTCAATTTCTTTGTACAGCGGCAGACTTGTCTTGACAAGGTATTTGATAATATCTTTTAAAGGCTCTTTCCCGCAAATACGATATTTGAATTCTAACTGCTTGTCAACAAACCCAGCTGATTTACAGTACGACCGTAGCACGCTTAAATCCGATGAACTCTCGAAATTCTGGTCACACTGGAAAGATTAAAGTTTTTACGCTAGCGTAATCGTTTTTCGATCTGGATACTAGGCTTTACCCATATCGTTGAAAAGAACAATACAAATTGTATCTTTGTTCGCACTTGTTTGTTTATTTTTTTCACTTCTTCCGAGCGAGGAAAACAAAACTACAGCTTGGGAAATATGAACAATCAAAACTGGCCGATAAGAGTATGTGTGTTGTGCGTCTTGCTGCTTAACATACATTTCAAAATCTTGAGTGGAAGATTTTCATGCCTATCATAACAGGCTGCGTGGAAAATTCCATGGACTAAGCGAGAGATTTTGCTGCTTCCGTTTAAGTATGGTCCATATCAAGATGATTCTGGTGTTTTCGAAAATATATGAAAGTTTTTTTTATATTTAAACCAAATATTTAAATTACCTTATTATTTTTTTGATTCCATCATTTAATAAATATTTCCCTTTAATTTAATGGCAAACAAATGAGCTTATCTTATTATTATTTTTTTAAAATAAATTAAAAATAATAATATAGTAATTATTAGCCTCTTAAAAAAACATGACACATTTGTTTACCTCAAACAGCTAATGTTTACTGACAAAATATATATTCAAAATAAAGTTAACATATATTAATTTTGGACTACCACTTATGAAAAGTATCTGAATTAATGTACCATAGGCCTCATCGAACCAGTCGGCGTCCAATTTGATTGGATATATAGCAACAATTAGATGTACTTAACCATGTCAACGCCACCATAGGCCTAAATATATAAAGAGTTGTAGATTACTAACAGGTGCGTAGTTAAGTATTAATCTTATCTGTTCAATGCCATAACAGAGTGTGAAAAACTACAAATCGAACCTTAAAAACGGTCAAATTTCCCCACTGCTTTTACCTGCCATCGCGGACGAACATCTGTTGAAAATCTCAGTGAGCGAAATCTTTTTTCGATTTCTACCTATCCGTATATAAGGTAAACATATGTTTACAGTGGCAATCGGTCGGAGGGGGTGGCGCCTTGGCTCATAGTGGTGGTGCAAAGGCCATCACCGCCGCCGAGAGAGCGAGAGCGGTGCAGTACGGAGAGTATTTCTATTTCGGCTACCCCTGGGCCTTGGTCTTGTAACGATGAGTCAGTTTGTTTTTGTGCGCCCAGCTGGGAACTACTTTTCGCTTAGACCTGAGCCCAACCACAAGACTTCCTGAGTGCCTTCTTTTTCCACATTTAGTTATCACAATTTATTTCATATAGTACTTAAACATTTGCATACACTACGCGTAGCATGAGACAGCGAAATCGTAGCAACAACAAAGCACTTAAACGTCGCCATCAGCAGGACATTATAGATCAAAACTGTTGTTTGAGCAAACGGTGCAACTATGATAATATCTGGCAACATTTTAAACGCAATGTAAGCCCATTTTTAAGTATTTAACATTTCATTGTTAGTTGATCCTTAAAGAGATTTATAAATTTAAAAATATTATATAATTTCAAAATCTAACTTTAGAACTATCGATTGGTGTATTTTCTTGTAGTTCCCTATTTTTTTGTGTAACCAATCACAATTAACTTGAAATTTCCTTTTATTGCCTTGAGATATTTAATCAATATGTTTTATTTTGCTTGTCTGCGCCTCTAATTCCACATGCATTTTCGTATCTGCAGTTCTTTTGTTATTTTTAGTTCGCCTAGGCAAACTGTTTTGTCGATTTCACAGCTCGCCATCGGTTTTCCTCTCTTTGTTATTTTTTTCTGTAGATTTATTTTTTCATTAATAGTTTCTTCCCTTTACCATCACAACCCTCTCTCACCCCTAGGCCACCCTTGAGGAAATTCGACATGCGGCCGCTCGCATTTGCCGGGACTATCTAACCGGACGTTGGAAAGTGGTTACTCCCGAGAATTTGGTGGTCAAACGTATAAGGTAAAGATATTATTACAAAAATCAAATTTATTGCAGTTTTACAGCTTTTTGAATGAAACTTTGGAAAAAGTCTGTAGCAGGTAGAAAATAAGTAAGCTATATATAGCTCTCATAGGTATTATCTGGGAAAAAAAGGAAAAATAAATAATTATTATTTCGTTGTTTCTTAACATATATCTAATACTTCGAGATTTAGTATTTTTGTAAGCAATTTCAGAAATACGGTTTTAGTTTTATACAAATCAAACGATCATATAGTCATATAGCCAAAGGAACAATTGATTATAAATGGAAATAATGTTATAACTTCGCTGTTTCTTAACATATTTACCCATATACTTTAAGAACGATTTTGTAACGATTTTAGAATTACGGTTGAACTTTTATAAAAATCGGACGACTAACATCGGATTGCCGGTTTTTTTTAAACATAATAATCCGAGATATAGAAACTTTAATATTAATTGATCTACTATATAATATATAGCTGGCATAGGAACGATCGAAAAGTTGATCTTAAAATCGTTATAGCTTCATTGTTCTTAAGCATATACATACTTTGGCTTACCGACTATTACTTTCTTTCTTATACAAACTAGGAGACTTTTTTCACCACAAATTAATCACCCCTTTTTGGTTGCAGTGGTGGTCTGTCAAACTTCTTGTATTACGTAAGTCTCCCCGACTTGGATGACTTCGATGAGCAGGAGGAACCACAACACCAGCAAGCAAACGTCAACGTCGGCAAAAACGTCATAGCCACCGGTACTTTATCCAATAATGGAATCGTCTTAACACGCGACGATTCGGAGGTGGCCAAGTTGGAAGGCGTGACAACGTTGACCACGGAATTGGAAAATAACGACGACGATGATGACGACGCAGCGACTAGCGCCAAACAGGCACACAAGCGTCAGCGGTTCGATAGCGATAGTCGCGACTCGAGTTTGTTGAAACGATTGCACGCCCCCAAACAGGAACCCCGTGAGGTAGGTCATTTCCTGCAAAACCTGGCTCCCTGGAATGAACCTAATCCTTTGCCATTGACTTACATCTACAGGTCCTGCTGCGCATCTATGGCCAGACCCACGGCGATCACGCGCTGGAGAGCATGATCACAGAGTCCGTGGTGTTTGCCCTGCTCAGTGAGCGGAACTTCGGACCCAAGCTGCACGGTATCTTTCCCGGCGGACGCATCGAGCAATATATTCCGGTATGTTGGGGATATAAACGTAGACTTCTTCGCAATATTATTGTTGGAAAATATTTATTTTTTGGTCTAAATTAAAAAATTATATGCCTTATTGCCTTCAATAACAATATTGAAGAGATGTAAATCGAGCTTCAAATGGCTCAAGGTAATAAATTAACTTAAAGTTGTATATGTATATATAAAGTAAAAGCTTGATAATAGCATTTATTTACCATGTGGTCGCCCGAACTGGCCCATTCCGACCTATAAGTAGTAACCTCCAAAAGTAAGAAGACTTTTGGAAAGTTTCATACAGATAATTTTAAAAGTGAGCGGCTATTTTGAGTAGGGACGGACGGCAGACTGATGGACATGGTTAGACCGACTCTCCTATATAGACTCTGCTATATAGATCTCATATAGTATCGGTGATTTCTTCGCGATGCAAACTTTTGTGTGAAATGCAAAGGGTACATTTTCACAGCAAACAGTTCAAATTATTTAGAAACCTTTTTGTTCCACAGAAATTATTTCCAACCGAAATTTAATGGACTGCCGGTTAAAAAGATTTTTACCACGCCGGTATATGATATAAACCAATAATACTTAAACTTGTATTTAATTTATTTTAATCTGTCACTTAGGCACGTGCGTTGACCACTGCGGAATTGGGAGAGCAACGCATATTAATGAAAGTGGCTGAGAAAATGGGCGAGATACATAGCCTCAATATCCCCATGTCGAAGGAACCGGATTGGATATGGAACTGTATGCAGCGTTGGGTGACAGGCTTGGAGGCCATTGTGAAAGGCAATGTTCAATCAAATCCGAAATCCTCAGTAATGGAAAAGCAAATGGATCTGATGCAGACCTTTGACTATGTGCAAGAGATCGCCTGGATGAGATCGATTATCAATGAGGGTGAATATCCAGTTGTGTTTTGCCACAATGACCTTCAGGAGGGAAACATACTGCTGCGTCAGCCGCCAGTTGGTCAAAACGACCGCACGCCGCGGGAGTCAATTAGTAGTTTGAGGTAGGTTAAGTCACATTAAATTAGAATTTAAGATTAGTCAAGGAAGTTCTTTCGAAACCAATGTTAAGTTAAAAGAGACTTTTTTTCATATAACATAATATAATTTTGTTTTAAATACTGTATCCAATAGCTGTAATATTAAAATGAGGTGCTTATGTTTTATTAATAATGTTGTTAAAATTGTGTTTAAAAATATATTCCATCAACCCTTGACAAAGTTTTTTTTAGCCCAAAAGAACAAAAAAACGGAAAATTAGTTTAGTAAATTTCTGTTAATTTTACTTTTACGTTTAATGACATAAATATTTTAAATATGTCACAGATCCAATTTCGACGAAACTTTGGGCGACAGCCTTGATGGCAACAGCAACATTTCGGAACCGGAGACATAGTAAGTACAATTCTCGAGAAATTAGTAATCTGCTAACCCGTTGTTTTGTTGTGGCCTGCTAACCAGCAACTACTTATCATTGGCCCTTTAGTCGTAAGTCTCTGCTCACCAGACCCGTTTAAAACTATCTACAATTCTAGATGGCCCCAATTTGCTGCGGTCGTGATTTGAGTTAAAAAAGTGTGTGTTGGTCAAATGCAATATATTTGTTGGCCAAAGCAAAACAAAATACAGGTTCTTCATGACATTCAATTGGAAAGATATATATTTAGTGCTAACTATTACCAAAATCTGTTCGTCCTACACAGCAAATCGCGCAGCGTTTCTCCATCGCCTTGCCCAGAGTTGGACACCACGAATGACTCGGCGCTTGATGCCAGCTTTACAACCGATAATGAGCCGGATCTTATTATCATTGACTTTGAGTACTGTGCCTACAACTACCGTGGCTATGATCTTGCCAATCACTTCATTGAGTGGACCTTCGACTACACCAATCCGCAGTTCCCTTACTTTTACCACAACTCCAGCAATTGTGCGAGTGTTCAGCAGCGTCGCGACTTCATTGTGAACTATCTAAAGAAGTACCACGATGATGAGAACTACAATCCCACTGGCCAGGAGCTGGACAAAGTGGATGCCGAGATCCAGTTCTTTACAATGCTGTCGCATCTGTTCTGGAGCCTGTGGTCTGTGATCAATGTGACATCGGCTATTGAGTTTGGTTATTGGGTGAGTACATAGGTTATTATACCCTTGCGGGGGGTATTATGATTTCATTCAAACGTTTGCAACGCAGTGAAGGAGACGTTCCCGTCTCTAAAGTATATATATTCTTGATCATTAGAGTCGATCTAACCATGTCCGTCCGTTTCTACGGAAACTAGTCCCTCAGTTTTAAAGGTTTCTGCTTGAAACTTTCTTAAAAGTTGTCCTTTTTATTGCAGGTAGTATATTAGTCAGGTAGTATATTAGCAATCGGAAAAAAAATTTTAAAAAGTATGACTTCGTTGTTTTTAATATTTTTGTTTTTCTGGATTTAATAATATTTAAATACTATGGAATTACGGTTTTAATAAAATTAAAAGCGGACGTCTATATCATATAGCTCGCAAAAAAAAAAATTGAAAAAAAATGTATTTTAAAAAATTGTAGTTTGCTGTTTTTCTATTTATCAAAATATTCCTTTGAGTTATAGTAATTATTTACTATATCAGAATTACGCTTCCTTGCTTTTAGTAATATAGGCATACAAATTGAAATGTAGACGTTTTGGAATAAATATAAGCTTCGGCTTGCCGAAGTTTGCTTCCTTCCTTGAAATATATTTGAAAATTTAATCCTTTATCTTTCTAGTAATCAATATATTCATTCAGATTTTTGTTTTATTTTCAGGAGTATGGAATCGCTCGAATTCTTGAATATCAAAAGTTAAAGGCTGCATATCTGGCGAAATGAGGGCAATTGTTAATAAAGGTTCACATATTCACAACCTTCACTTAAATCGAATTAGAACCGTACTTAAGTGACCTTTAACAATTAAGTCCCTGTTCTCTCCGCCTGCCATTGTCCTCGTTTAAAAATGACAGCAGTTTTACCCAGTTGGCAAACAACACGGTTATTACACTACTTCAATATTGCATTCAGAAAGACTAACTTATTATTGTATAGAAAAATTAGCTAATTAGAATTGATAAAGCTAAAAAAAAGCATAATACCAATGTTGCTGTGATTATTCCGTGAGACAGATGACAGATAAAACAACTACAACAGTTTTGGGTTGGAATTGTCCCTCTACCAACAGATTCGATCGAAAGTATTACATGCAGTACCCGGCTCATCCCTAATAATTATAATTCACGCAGGTTCATTTTACTATTTTATGAATTATATTTATGCTCTATACGCAAACATAAACTTAATAACTTTCGAATTTATTTCTTATTCGAATTTTTATGTTTTTAATTTCAAAAATTACTTCCGTATCTAAGTATTAATTGGCATTGTACGCACCAGTCAACACCAGGTTTCTTCTATACACTAAAAGCTTAGTACAACTTTTTACCAAAATCAATCAACAATCATGTGTTTTTTATGTACCTACCTAACAATCCCATATTCCTTATTAGAAACTAATTGTATGTTTTTAGAAGTTTAAATATTTTTCGTCTATTTTTTATAAATAAATAAATCAATTTTAAAAACTGAAATATGCGTTTTTCTGCTAAGGGAAAGTTTCGGAGGAAGACATTTTGGTTTGACCCGAAGATTTAAGATTTTGGGTTGAATTATAATATTTTTAATGAGCAATATTGGACATTTTTTTTACAAAATTCGCGGGGTTGTTATAAACGGTATTCAAGTTCCATTTGTTATCCTCAGACAGCTTCCGATCCAGAAAAATAAATCGATTCATAGACTTTTAAGCGTTCAACAGCGGCCAAATAAAAGTGGAATTTTGAAAGCCATCGTTGATATAGATATAGATGAACATTGCGTCAGTAGTATTTTTTAATAAAACTAATCAAAGTCCTTGGCTAAACAATTACATTCAGTATTATATTATCGACGCACATTCAATGAACGCCGTGTTTTGGTATCCGCGATTGCTAATTTTGGTGGCCAGCAATTTCCATCAATCGTGGATATTATCGCTAAAACTGAGTTTGACAAAAACTGTTTTTTTGTTATAATAATAAAAAAACCTTTTTTAAACATTTCTTGTATTACACGTTAGTTTTTCACGGAGTCTTAAGGGGTATATACCTTTTTTTGTCGAAAAAATAGAAAAGTTTGGATTTTTTATGTAAGTAACAATTTTTTTTATTAAATGAATGATTATTCTGAAAGTTTAGATTGTTGACAATGTTTATGCAAAAATTTATGAAAAAATATTTAATAGTTTTTAAGGGGTGGCTGTTTCCCTTAAACTCCTTTTTTTGGAAGAGCCTTGCGGTGATAAATTCCCAGGACGAACGGGTCAACCAAAACCGTAAAAATAAAAATATTTTATTACTTTAGAGTAATATCCTATATTTGAACGATCGTTTAAAAAACGATTACGCATTACGCATTATCTATTTACGCATTATCTATTTCGGCGAAATACAAATTTTTACATAAAATATCGATCGTTCAAGTACTTATAAAATTCATTGCGCACATTTAAAAAAAAATTTGAAGAAAATCGGTTCAGTAGTTTTTCGCCAGTCCATATCACCGCAGTCATTTTTCAAAAAACACCATTTCGAGATATTCGCGTTTAAAGTTTCAAGTTTGGGTTTGGGCGGGGACGAGGCGCGCGGCTAGGAGCGCTGTAACTTTTTTTCTACTGCTCAAAACTCTATGAAAATTTGGGGAAATGTTCTCATGAAGTTGTTCTTTAAGATAAATCAAAAAAATTTTTAGATTTTTTGAAAATGAAAGAGGTATATAGCCCCTTAAGAGTTATTTTTCTTGTCTGAATGACTTCCTGTGGTGTTGCGCACGCAAAGATGTTAAAGCAGATTTATTGACACCACTTAATCAAGAAAATAAGCTGACATGAGGCCAAATATCAGTTTAATTTTTGGATTAAAGGCACAGCCCAATTACTGGAACACTTTGACATTAATTCAAAACACAATGAACTGCACTCCAAGAATTGTCAAAACAGTACCAGCCAACCGATAATGCCAGGCATCCTTAATTAATGCAGCAGAAACGGAATATATCAGACAGAAACAAATGGCCAGAAGGACCATTTAGCAATGCTTATCAGGCAGGTCCGTATCACCCACTTTCCCTCCCGCCATCTGATTATTTGTCCCAGCATTGCCGTGCCTTGAATTGCGGTTGTGCATTGCTCTTGAATCCATTCGGAGTTAGCTGGCCAGGACTTTATATAATGAAAAGCAATATACGCCTTCATGGGCAAATTCAATACAAAGCTTTTGTCTCCGGGAATGGCACAGCCAAACTCGAACTGGTTCTGACAGGAAAACAAGGATTTTTTTTTAAACACAGGTGCAAACACAGAGCTTGCATCTTGGCATTACAATTAAATTGCTCCGCCACATGTTCTTGGATGTCTGTTGAGAACTAATAATTATCGTAACCCGATTGATGTCATTATTTCTTGTGCAAAGATTGTTGACCGCAGGTCAAGAAAATATCAAATCAAATAAAATAAAAATCAAATAGAAGTTCTGATGTGAAATTTATTGGTGAATAAGTCAGCGAGGATTGAGGAGATGGAATGTAAGTTCCTTCAAGCAATGACATATCGAGGTAAGAATTTCAGGACGATCTCATCTTTATGATTAATGACAGCCAGTGCCCTGACTAACCTAAGTTTCATCTATATTAGTGTGAGTTTTGAAAACACAATTTCAAAATTAATTAATTCTATTACAAAGTTGTTTAATTACTTTAAATACCTTTCGAAATGATACCAGTGATAAAAGGAATAAATTTCCCAGTCCGTTAGTATGGGGCCTTGGGTGATCAGTCTTATGATTAAAGTATAAAACAGCTATTCGACTATAAAATTATATCTAAAATTTTAGTGCGTATAAACAAACGACTCGCCTGGAGATCCATATCAAGAATATATATAGTTAAGGGGTCGAAAATATCAGGATTAAGGATTAAATTCTCTTCTAGTTGAAAAAACCTTTTTCATTTAAAGAAAATATATATTAAACAAGAAAGGAAAGCTAACTTCGGACGGAGCCGAAGTTGATATACCCTTGCAGAATAGTCTGCAAATTATATTCTCCAAAATTATTAATATGATGTATTCTTAATACTCATAAAAAGTCCCAACTTCCTAACTTTAAAAACACCAAAGTTATGGCATTTCCAATCGTTCAGTAATATGGCAGCTATAGGATATAGTCGGCCGATCCTTATGAAATTTGGTAGGTCGGATTGATTGGCCAAAAATAAAACCCATAGAAAATCCCAACTTCCTAACTTCACAAACACCCAAGTTATGGCATTTCCGATCAATCAGTTATATGGCGGCTATAGGATATAGTCGTCCGATCCTTATGAAATTCGGTAGGTCGGATTAATTGGCCAAAAATAAAACTTATAGAAAATCCCAACTTCCTAACTTTAAAAACACCAAAGTTATGGCTTTTCCGATCGTTCAGTTATATGGCAGCTATATGATATAGTCGCCCGATCCGGCTCGTTCCGACTTATATACTACCTGCAATAGAAAGACAATTTTTGGGAAAGTTACAAGCAGATAGCTTTAAAACTGAGGGACTAGTTTGCGTAGAAACGGACGGACGGACGGACAGACGGACAGACGGACATGGCTATATCAACTCAGGAGGTGATCCTGATCAAGAATATATATACTTTATAGGGTCGGAAATGTCTCCTTCACTGCGTTGCAAACTTTTGACTGAAATTATAATACCCTCTGCAAGGGTATAAAAACTTGGAATTTAATTTTGTTTTTAATCTTAAGAATACAAGCATACAACATAATAACAATCAAACTAAAAATGGTTTTAAAAAAGCGTTCAACGTTATTTTCTATTTGTTTTGGATTAATCATTTTTAGTCAGCTGATATTCAGAATAGGGATAAAAAATACAAAATCGTATTTTATCTGTCTGCCCGTCTATTTCTATACCGTCTGCAAGCTCAGTTTAGAAAGCTGGTATAGAATTTGAGTAAAATTGGATAACTACATCCCATTGCTTCCATATATGTTTTATACTTAATATATTTCGCGCCGTGTGAAGATAGATTCTTGAAATATCCCAAATCGTAATTTGTTGTCTCTTTCCCGTGAAAAGGCGAAAATATGTTTATATTTTCGAAAAATCTGTCATGGTATTAAAACTTCGGCTTGCTCAAGTGAGATTTCTTCCTTATTAACATAATAAAACGAGGACGGAAACTAACTTCGGCAAGCCGAAGTTTTAATACCCTTGCAGACTTTGCCGAAATTGCTAAAACTGAAAAAGTAGCGAAAGGAATAAGGTATACATAAGTAAACTAGATTTGCATCGTTTCATGTCAATTGCTTTTATACTGCAAAAATGTCATATAAAAATAGAAAAAAAGGAATACTTTCGCAGCCTTTAACAATTTTTCCTACGGAAGCTATAACATATAGACGTCCGATCGGAACGCGCTTTTACCCTGATCAAGGTATGTATGCATAAAAAATAAGATTTGGAAAGATTCATGTCAATAGCTTACATACTGCGCGAAATTTCCTAAAAATCATTAAATTTTAACCGAATCCACACTATTGTTCCTATGGGAGCTATAGGATATAGACGTCCGATCGCCACGCGCTTTTACCCTGATCAAGGTATGCATTAAAAAATAAGATTTGGAAAGATTTTTGCCAATAGCTTTTACACTGCGCGAAATACCTTCCATTCTTGCAAGGTTTATCCGATTGTTCCTATGGGAGCTATAGGATATAGACATCCGATTGGGGCGATTTTCAAACTTGATCTGCGTACACATGTTTTAGGATGATTGTGAAAGTTTCAGATCGCTAGCTTTTAAACTGAGCTCGCAAACGGACATGGCTATATCGACTCCCCTATTGATCCAGATCAAGAATATATATACTTTATGGGGTCGGAAACGTCTCCTTCACTGCGTTTCAAACTTCTGACCAAAATTATAATACCCTCTGCAAGGGCATAACGTGTTTCAATTTAAGTGGATTTGTGTTTCAGCAACTTTTTAGTGCCTATAAGCATGTTGCTAAAAAGGGCTTTCTAACCATGTTGCAGCAACATGTTACTATGCTGCTCAAAAACATATCCCTAGAAAATCAAGCTGCAGCAACATATTTATATACTTATATTCCTTGAAAATTATGTTGTTGCTTTAAATATATCCCAAGAATATCATGCTGCAACTTGTTTACCAATACCATTTGAATAAACAATAAATAATAACCACAAACATACTCCCATGCAGGGAGCGCAGAACGAGATTATGTCAAGAATGGCAGACAGTCAAGCTCAAGTCCAATCGGATTTTTTCGAAATCAAAGAATTATTTATTTTTACATTCTTCGAATTTTTTGATTTCCTCAACAGTTTCGACAAATCCAATTGGAATTGAGTTTTTGCTGTCTGCTATCCTTGGCATTAAAAATACAAACATATTTATATTTAATATATGGCAATTGCTGTTTTTATTTTTTCTGCAGGCTGGCTAAAATCTGCAGACATATTAG